ATAATAAAGCCACTGATGAATTTAGATAATGACTATTGTGGGTCTTCATCTACTGTATACCGTCCACTTATGTTGTGACGAGTCTTTGGGATCACAATTCATTGTTGCTGTGTTCATATCGCCTTACCGGACCACAAAGAAAAGAGACCTATGCTGCTGCCACATTAAGCCTTTGAACACTTGGACGTCATAAAGGCTGCAACCTGCAACCTGTTTAAACACAAAAACATGTGGTCTGCAGCTTCTTGATGTCTTTAGCACGTCACCGTTCTTTCGACCTTTTCGTTCATGCGCTGGTCCAAACATGGTGCTTGCACCACACCGAGTCGCACCGGTGCAGTTCTGCGCCGCGCAACGAATGCGGCGTCACGCCGTCGCAGCGTGCCCAGGCCAAGCACCAGCGACTTTGTGCTCTTACGGCCCTTGCCCTACGATCCGGTGCCTCCGGACGCAGGCGCAAACTGCGTCCCGCGGGACGTGACGAATGGGACGTGGCGCCACGGAAGTGGGGAATGACACTTAAAGGAGATTCGTTGAAGGGGGTTCTATTGCACAGATGTCTGTGAGATAGATCAGTGTTGGTCTGAAAAGCCGTTGTTTGACCACGAGCTGGCAGCTCTGCCAGTAGAAAGCTTCAAGAATGCAGCTATGTATGGTTAGGGAAGTTTGTGTTTCCACATGCCAATTGATCAAGGCCTATCTGTGTCTGTGTAGACAAGTATGGGTTTGGGACATTGGTTGGGCCAGTCTCTTCGTCTTTTCGAGGGCAATAAAATAATGTTATTATGGCGCCAGGCGAATTCGTGCATGGGCCGAGCCTATATGGCATACATGGGCACTTTACAGTCGTGCAATGTTGTTCATTTGGTTGATGGCTCGTCTCCCAGGCGACACCAACAAGCAGAGGAGACGGCTTCAGCGCGCGAGTTTCGCGGCAAATTGAGATTGTTCTGGAACCGGTGATAGGACATGTAGATGGTGTAGGACGAAAGATATGGTTGACCGACTGGGCTTTTGCAGCGGGAAGAATTTTGTTTGTTCTTTGTTCCCCACATTGACGTGTGTTTTTTTTGTGTTTTTCTGTGGTATCCGCTCCAACTGCCACCCACAAACTGCCACAACCAATTGCCAGCCACCAATTGCTACCAACCGATTGCCACCAACCAATTGCTACCAACCAATTGCCACCAACCAATTGTCACCAGCCAACTGTCATCAACCAAGTGCCACCCACCAATTGCTACCAACCAATTGCCACCAACTAACTGTCACCACCCAATTGTCACCAACCAAATGTCAACCACCAATTGTCCGCTCCTGTGTCTGGTGAAGTTGTTAACATGTCAGGTTATCCGGTCCTGTTTTTTTACAAAAGCTAATTAATATATGTTTTCCCCACCTGTCAGGTGAGGGTTGTTAGATTTTATGTCAGCTGCCGTCGTCCTCCGCCTCCTGCTCCTCCACCTCCTCCTCGCAGTGTTCCCCACCGGACCTCAACCGCCAGCTCCGGATGGCAGTGTTCCACATTCACCACCAAACACCGCCAAATGTAGGCGATAAGTTTGCTGAGTTACATGGATCGTTTGGGCATGGGATCCATGGGCCTCGGACGGACCTGAACCCCTGTAAAGTGCTATATGTCGGGTCAAAACCTAAGATTCCCCAATTCCTGCATCGGTGACAGTGAAGATTCCTCGTCCTAACGACGGCCGTTCCGTCGTTGGTTGCGGGAGTTGGCGTGCCATGAGGTGAACCGCCGCTCCAGTGGAAGCGAAGCCAAGACAGAGAAAACCCATCGCCTTTTGTAGTGATTCATCATTGACTTTGGGTGTTTCCCCCCTCTAGGGCAGAGTAACCGTTTGGCAACTGGAAACGAGCGCTACCTTGGGTGCTTCACCATAATTCCCCTTTGAGTGATTGATGGCTATAGGTCATGGCACCAGAAGACCAACTGGGCACGACCTATGTGGAAGGTCGTAGCCGCTACATGGTGGATCAGGGCTCCTGGTTTGGACCCCATATCAATACTTTCCATCCCCCTCCCAACACGCTTCGCGAGCCAAAGGACCTTCATTTACAAGGGCGCTTTGCTGGTGGTCCGCCGTTCAGACTTCTGGAGCAAGGAAGTATCGGATCTGTCGAAGCACGGGTTTTGTTAGGTCACATCATCTCGCAACTAGGTCCCTAGGTCAATGCCATACAGTAGAATGTTAGTTCAAAAAAGATTAACTTTTGAGTAGCAGCAAAAGCAAGGTGTAGCGTGAATGTAGCGTTCTGGCCACTTGGGGAAGGTGTGGACTTCTTAAAATGTGCATGTAAATGCATGTGTTTTTTGACATGACAGTCAATGGGTCCATCGGCGGAAGGATCTCAGTCTTCCCCAGGTGCCAATGTTGCCGCTCCAAAGCCCTCGGGAAGGTGCCGAGTTCATCGCGTCATCATTGAGCACACGTCGCCGTTTTCGACAATTCTATCGGCGATGGATGGACAGCACGCTTCGGAGTGCTGGTGATGAGATGGGGGGACCACACACTATAAACATACAATAACATACATGTGTATATAGTTATATACATAGGCATGCATCTATATATACCTAGGTTTTCGATGGTCTTTCGTCTGGAAAGGAGACCAACATATTCATGCTTGATTATACTCCATATATTAGGTTCTACTCATGTTGTCAAGGGTTGCAAGGGATGGTGATGCTGTTTGGAGATGTGGTTCCCGGTGCGATTCTCGTCGGTCTTTCGGAATTGCTCCCATGTTCAGGGTGGATCACGAGATATCATGAGCATCAGCGACTCTTCCAAAACATCCCTTAGCGTCCATGCACGTGCAGGACATGGGGAAGTTGAAGAGCCCATAACAACCTTGGAAGACAGGCACACCCAGGAATCCCAAGAACTATCCCAGAATCGATGATAACGGTTAGTCGCTTCTCTTCTGGACTAACCTGGCATGACAGCTCCAAAAGCTAACGGTTCCTTGTAATTGATGCTAATCAAAGCATTATGTCATTCGAGAAGGCCAGTAGAAGCTTCAATGCATGCACACAGAGGCTGAAGATGGCTGAAGCCACCCAAGTGCCACTTCTTTCTCATTTTCACTCTTTTTGCTCCAAGTGCTGTATAGAGCTACCAGGTGGGGTACGCGCATGAATCACAAGAGATTCTTGCAAAAGCTATGGAATCTATGGCATGACCTGATTACCCGCAACCCACAGGTAATTACCCAAGATGGTGATGGGCCATGCCGCCTGGGTCGCCCTGGTCCACCGTTCGGTCTCCCCGGTGCTGACCCACATCGTCCGCTGGAAGGCTCGCCGAAGAGCGAGAAGCAGAGCGAGGAGACGAACGCGAAAACGCACGCGATTGGTCTCCATGAGTCAGGTGTTGTTGAGGAAGTTAATAGGAGCTAGAGGACGCTACTAGTGGCTCCTGGCCGTACTACTAGGAACAAGAAGCAACTAGGAACAAGGGCATCGCTACTAGGAGCAAGGACGCTACTAGTAGCAAGCTTCCACTGGGTGCGATCAAACGAACATATGACACCATGTGGCAATGTCCAATGCCAAGCTTCATTCAGCTCAACATAAATATAGTGATCCATAGTGATACATAGTGATACCTACCATTACCTACCATCCCATATCAATCAGGCCCTTGGACGTCCGCTGTTCTTTCGCACTGGCAGCTTGTTTGCTCATGCTGATTTGCCGATGAAGCACCCCGATGTCGTTCGCAAGTGTCTTGCTTCAGGTTGATAGGCTCATGTTGATTGCGGACCGTTGGCGGCTTGAATCCGCATGTCGCCGCCAAGCAGTCCGGTCGGAGGACGTGCGGCAAAACAAGGGCTGGAAGATGGTCAAGAGCAAGGCACAGCTTCTGCAATGGAGCCGATCTGCATTGAGAAAAACCTGCAGTAAAGGCAAAGACCAATAATGTAACATAAGAAACAACAGGGACCACACAATATATTTGCGAACCACATATTTGACATCTTCATATGACCCTTCATCGATACACATGTCATCGCGCACGATTTCACCCCCCAAAAAAGAGCAGACACATGCACATTGTTTGTCCAATTTCGCTTCCAACTTCCGCGTCTTCCTGTGGAACTGGAGAGCGAGTGCTGAGTCCGATTCCCGGAGCGATTCTCCGCGTCGCGCCAGCGCCCCACGCGTCGCGCCACCCGCGCCGCCCGGCTCCAGTCGCGACTCCGGGAGCTTCGCACCTTCGTTCGACGTCTTCCGAGCCATGGCGGAGCAGCTGGCTCGGATCTTCGGCCGCTTGGAGCCGAGACGAGAGTCACGAGACTGGGAGGGAGACCGGAACGAGGGGAGAGACGGGGTTGAGTTTTGAGCAGTTGGATGCAGTTGGTCATAGGTAACCAAGAGATTGCACATGTATAGTAACCTTTCTTAACCTTTCTTTTGAGACTTGGTTGGTGACTTGGTTGGTTTGTTGTGATGGCGGGCCACGTCTTTGAGATGATTTGTTTGAACCAAAAACACTATGAAGATGTGTGACTGTATCTCATCTGCTTGGAGAGGGAAACCCTGATCCCGAGCAAACTACCATGCAATAGAACATCACTTGGTATCAGACTATCATTTTGGAACCCTATGCCAGCAAACCAAATGAAGTTATTTTTGAGTGTGCAGCATCAAGATCATGTGCAGAGCAGACGTCCTTGTGAGGAACCGAGGAGGACCGCGTCAACTGCCCCTTTTACTTCAAGATCGGCGCATGCCGCAATGGTTTCTCGCCCAGGAATGTGGCAAGAACAGCTTTGATGGGACACCATTTGGAACATGACATATTATATAGGAGACCCTCTAAATTGTGTGAACATTGAATGAATTGCTGCTGTTGGTTTTGAGCACGGTTTTTGAAACCTATTTGTTTAGCATGTTTGTGAAGGACTCGTCCTTCCCTTCGGTTGGCGAGTTGATGTCAGGCGATCAGTGCAATCGCTTGCACAACCGTCCAACGATGAGTCAGACGCTGCTGTTGTCACACATGTGCCCAGGGCGGTTGGATGTGGTATGGCCGATTAGTTCTTCAATGCTCTTAATTGAAGCAGAAAGGTGACTGGACAAAGCTGTTGTGGACCAATTCCTTGTGGACACTGTACAGGGCAATTTGTGTTTGTTAGAGAATCGATGTTTGGAAGACCAATCTATTACCATGGATTCATGGATGTCTTGAGATGTTTTGAGCAATTCTTTTTGGCTCTTCAGCCAGGCTTCAGGAAGTGTACCAGTTGATACGTACTCCAGGTACCCCAATACTCCAGAGTCCTTGGCTCTCGCCAATGATGAGCCCTGGGATGACGACATGTACGACCGTGCACAGGCCCAGCAGTGGCTGCGGTGTTGAGCCGAGTTGAGTCATAGCAGCTTCGTGAGTGGATGATTTTCTGGCTATACCACCGGTTGCCCACCTCAAGTGTGAAGAGAGAATGATAGAGAATGCCATATCGGAGACTATGGATTCCTGGGGTCCCTGAGTCAGGAGCTCCTTCGTTTTCTCAAAACTCCTGGCCGACCATCGGACCGTCCGTCCGGATCGTGCCATCCGGGGGTCCAACCGCGTACGGCCGTTCATGCCGTTGCGGCAGCCGAACGGCGTGCCACAGGCACATTTGGAAGCCTTTTATGTGGAAGTGTTCCTGGAGTTGGCCAACTATGGAGAGATTGAGGACCAAATTTGGCACCTGGCTGGTTTGATTCGTGTATATAATGTGATCAGACATGCAACAGATATCGATAGATTAATTATCTAGCATGTTTCATGTGGGTTGATACATGTTGAAGCCAACAATTCGAACAGCCAGTAATCCCAATGGTACCATAGACTCAGAGGCTTAGAGGTGTGAAATTCACACACCCATGTTGTCTGTCGCCGCAGCACGCTACCTCGATATGTGGCCTTGTGACTCCGTGACGTTTTGTCAAGGATCCAGATCGGATGGTTGTCAACACAACTGGAAAACACAACTGCCAAAGTCTGTCCTCATTGTGTTGAGATAAAACATGTTGTTTTTGGATGGTTATCCTTGGACTTTGGTTATATAATTTGTAATATATAGCTGAGCACCGGTCTCATCCAGAAGAACTGCGAACGGTTCAACCTTACAGAGTTTGTTTGTCTTTTCTTTTCACCAGTTTTCCATTGGCATCGTCAGCATCCGGACGTCCGGAACTCACGGGCGCGCTGCTGGCAGGACTTGGTGGTGGTAGATAACTTGTGTGACCACATGATTGGTAATGTCTATGTGAAGTACTACCACGAGGAGGATGCGGAGCGTGCCCTGATGAAGCTGACAGGCGAATTTATGAATCTGTGGGAGTTTTGCAAGAACGAAGGTAAGGGTGAACGATGTGTTCTTTGTTGCGATGATCTAATATGAGCCACGATCAAAACAAGCGAAGATCCACTTTAGTGGAGAGGGGTAGGTTCGTGCACACAACACTGTAAAGCGAGAAGGTCCACCTCAAACCCAATAACCCCAGCATATATGATATTGAATATATATATATTATATATTCAGTAATATGAACATAAATATGTGGTGAGCACACACACTACTCTGCAGTAAAACGATAGGGTCCACCTCAAAACTGATAATGTCAGTGTTTGTTTCAGTTGAAGAGACACAAGTGTTTACCGCCCATCATATATTGCTTGTTGCTGTCGATGGTCGGGCTTGATCATTGTTTGGACACGTCACACAAGCTTATTACACATGATTTGGAGTTACTGGGGAGCGTCATGCCTGGAGTAAGACTGGCACACAAAGACTTCAAAGAAAGGTATCATGCTGCTGATCAGAGATTAGTATAATTAGAGTATCTACTTATTTGATTAAGTAAATACGTGTTTTGATGAAATCTGATAAAGCCCAATTTCAAGATCTCTCATTGGAAGGCCGTTTCTACAGCGGGAAGTTGCGCCTTGGCTGAGATAGCACTGAGGAACAGTTCCATCGTTCACCGGGTTTAGACCGCTCGACGTTCACCAATGGCCCATGGCACCTGAAACCGGTGCTCCGGGTTTAGACCGCAGACCCAGAATCGATCAAACGACTAAGAGACCAGCGCTTTCGCGTGGTGTTCGAGTGAAGCCGAATCGCCTCTTGTCCGGAAGCGTTTTGCCACGGTTGTTGTGAAAGTGCTTAGCGTCCAATGTTTGTTTGTTTGTTAGTTTGTTTCTCAAACAAAAAGAAGATCGTGATTCACGATGTTGCAGCCTCAAGTTCAGCTTCCAAAAGATCTTCAGGTGAGATATCTTCATGTGCAACATCATGTGTTTCAAAAGCACTGTTCTTGGATCAAACAGATTGTCGGAGACGACCCATGACCGGTTCGAGCAACGCTCAGGATCCAAGCCGAGTACACCACGGTGAGCGATTTCCGTGAGGCGCGCTGCCGAGCCTTTCACGAGACCCGTTGCAATCGTGGCGCCTACTGTGGCTGAGCTGCGTAGAAGGGCGGGGGGGGGGGGCTTCGACTGCGTTTGGTGCCACTGGGTGTGGAGGAAAGGGTGGCAGATTTCATGGATGAAAGGTTCCTTGAAAGTGTCTTTGAGAGGATGGCTATTTGAAACTTGCAAACCACCTACAAGGCACTGGACAGGTGTCAAATGTTTTCAAAAAGGCCTCCACAATGACCCTGCTTTGAAAAACTACCTCAGCTGTTGCAGACATTGGTTTGTGTATGCTGATCTCGAATGATCTCGCGGCTATCTCGTTTCTATTTAATGACGAGCTAACACCTTAAGAAGTGTAAGAAGAGGAAGAAGCCTCCGAGTGTTACAGACTTACTCAGGTATAGTAGAGATTAGTAAAGTGAGCGACACTTGGGGAAAAAAAAAAAAAAAACACACCAACATGCAGCAGTGTCCAAGCCATGATCGCATCACCTTACTCGTTCATTTGAGCAGAATGTTGTTTGCTCACATGAATAGAGACGGATGATTCAACCCCTTCCTTTGTGATATATATATACAGTATATATACTGTATTTAGTCCAAAGGAGAGGAGGAGAGGATGTGGTTTGATTCTGATCCTTACACGACCCAGTCGGGCAATTTCTGTGTTCTACTCGGTCTTCCTTTCGTAAGGCAATTTCATGCACATCAAGCACATTCCTCGTGCCATCAAGCGTCGCGTGGTGCGAGAGATGTACGATGATCACCCTGAGTACCTCGGGCAAACGGTGACTTGGACCGCGAGAGAGCACTATTCCGTCGGTGAAGTTTCAAAGTGTTCCATGTGTGCGGCCAAAGTGTATCATTTTGTTTAACAGTTTTGTTTCCGGCAGCACGCCCCGAACCGAAGAATCGCATGTAGAAGATCAAAGCTTCTGGCCTCAAAGAACATCACTGAGGGCTAGGTGTTTAATGTTAATTGTTCTGAAGACAAAAGCAAAGAACCTTGCAATTTTGTTGGGTAAAGGCAAAGGTAACATTTCATGGATCCATGTTTTGCCCTGATGGAAGGCCAAAAAGTCCAAGAAGGACAAGGACTCCGACAGATCGATTTTTCTTTTTTACGAAAGGCGCCGTCCGAGTCAGTCCAATTGCGAACGGAGGATCATGTTGATCAGCCGTTTTGTAGATGACCGATAGTTAAAAGAAACTTGTTGTTTACCTGATGCTACTTCTAGGGATTTGTTTTATGGATGTTTGGAGGCACTGTAAGCATCTTGGGCAACGCTTCAGTGATGTTGCATGCTGTTTTATGTTGTAAAAGCGATGTGTTTGTCTTTTCTTTTTTTAACGGCAACTCTTGAGCATGACTTACAGATCTACAAGAAACCATTTGAACCTCCCCTGAATCATCTCTCCCGTCGCGACCGTGATCACAAAGAGTGCCAGGACCGTGATCGCCGCTCTCGCTCCCGCCGTCGCGACAAGGAGAAGAAGGAGCCGAGACAAAGAGACCATAATAGACAATCATGGGTTACATGATCGAGATGGAATTGATACAGCATGAACTGATCGAATCAGCAGCTGCAGGAATTTATTTTCTTGGAGAACTTGATGTGTTTTTGGATGTTCTTGGTCTTTGTTGGGGTTTTAACATCTTGTTAGGGGCAATTTGGGGGTATAGGTATGGGAGGTGGACGTGCCACATTTTAATTTCCTTGGCGATGTCATGTGTTCCGTCCGCGGTTGTCGTTGTGCCTCCGCGAAGAGAGTACTTCGAGCTCTTTGTGAGCCCCGCTGCAAATGTGTTGCTAGTTGTTAATGAGCTTGACCCTCAAAAAAAAAAATATATATATATAATCTCTCTATATATATACGTTATCTCACATGAACAGACCGTGCCTCTTCAGGTGTCAGTCGTTTGAAGCCCCCTTTCCGCAACTGCAGAAGAAAAGAAAAACCACTCACAACAAAAATAACACTGACAACAATTTTTTGTACCATTCCACAACAAGGTTCAGCATTTGCCCAGCTAATCCTTGTAGCAAACGTTCGGCCCAGGAGAAGGACCGTGATCGCGATCGTGGTGAGCGCGGTGAGGCCCCGCCTGCACGACAGACGTCAGAAGAACGACGTGCCATGATCGCCTCTTGGAATGCGGAGAAGGAGACTTGGCTTGAATAGCAGAGATGGGACAGGGTTCTGGAAGGTTATATCTAAAGATGGTTTCAATATAGACTGTACTGCTTAGATGATATCCTTTGAAGTTGAGATTTTGGTAGGGCATAGGTAGACATTCTGAATAGACCCGGTTTTTCAGTGCGCTTGGTCGAAGATTTGCTTGGAAAGCCAGTTTGCAGAGTTCAAGTGTTCAGAAACATGGCATGGAGGTTTTGATGTTTCACCTCTCATACCTATAACCTACCGGGCCTACTGGGATACAGATGCTGATTAGATTTGTGTACATAGTTATACTTAGTTAACAATTGATTTTGTAATATCATATATATATATATATTATGGAACCCGAGTGGCCCCTGTTTTAGAGCCAAAACATGTATGAGGTCAATTGGCTTCTAGGTATACATTGTTGTTCCTGTTTGTGAAGCCCGTGCAAGCCCGTATGAGAAGTATTCAGACTGATTTGCAGCACTTTGCAGCTCTGAAGACTTGCAAGGCAGTTGGATCACTTTGTTGCCAAGGAAAGCGGTGCTGTGGCGTAGTGCAGTATGACAGCAGACTTTCCGCACGAGTGACAGTCCTGAGAGCTTTCCTTGAACATGTGCCCTGCGACTGGCCACATGTGGGGACCGAAAGATTTCGTGAAGGTCGTCAATGCAAAACAAACGAAACAGACTTAGTAAGGCAGAGTCATGATGTTGACATCTTCACTTGGGATGCACATGACTTGTCAAATTTGTGGTGCGACATGACGCTGAACCTGGGGGCCCCTATCTTTCCCGTTTTGGTCAGCAGGGTGAGATGCTCTCCCCGATCTCCAGAGACAGGTCACCAGCTTTTGGTGCATTCATCGGCGAGCCGGCGCGATATAAAAGAGCCGCCCCTAGTAGCTTCTTGTTACTAGTAGCGTCCCTTGTTCCTAGTAGTATGGCCAGGAGCCCCTAGTAGCGTCCTTGTTCCTAGTAGTAAGGCCAGGAACCCCTAGTAGCTTCTTGTTCCTACCCCCGTTAAAGACTTGTAGAGGTCCTAAAGCCTAAACCTGTTAACAACACCTTGTTGTGAACTGCTCAACAGATTCCCCATGAAGAACATGTTTGGTGCCAGTCTGCCAGTTTTCAAGAAACAGACCCTACGCATTGAACATGAAGCGACTGAGGCTGACCACAGATGATACTTTGTAGCTTGTATGTCTTTGTTGATGATTGATTGACTATTTGTCAAAATAAGTGTTTGGCTACAAGTAGTAGAAGCAAAGGAGCTGTGCCCCCTGTCTCTCAAGTTCTGGCAAGTATATATGGTACAGTACACGTTCTCTTGTTTTTTGTTAAAGTACCCCAGAGTCCATCCAAGTACCTCCAACCGGAAGGAAGAAGATTCTCTCCTTTGGAAGTTATGAAGCCAACGGTGCTTCATGCTTTGAAGAGATTAGTTATGATCAACTCTTCGAGGTTTTATGAGGCTTTCTCCGGATAGCATAGCACCAACCGCAGGTTCGGTGCGTCGGTGGCCTCGTCAGGTGGTTGGTGCTGCAGTGAAGGTGGAATGACAGGTCAGGGGGCCCCAGACCAAACCACGACGAAACCGAGGTCGGGTTCTGGCGAGGGGATGGAAGCCTGGGGCGGAAAGAAATGATGTCAATTAAACAAAAAGGGGAGCCTTCAGCACCCTTTTCAACGCATGGGCTGTATCAGTTGGGTTTCGAGAGAGGACCAAATCCAACAAGAAGAAACTGATAGTCACATATGCAGACATGCAAAGTAAAACACATTTTTCCCAATGTAGATATTTGTTGTTTTCATCAACAATCGATGCATAAACATAAAAGTAGACAACCCACTAAAGAATGTTCTTTGTTGCTGTGGCCACAAAGCAGAGAAACAATTCATAGCAGGGAAGCGAAAGAGCAGTTTTCAGGAACAGGGACAACCAGACAACCCCCACGGCTCATTTTCACCAGCATTGTCCAAAGGCACTTAAGACGCCCGCCAGTGAACGAAAAGCGGTGATGCTGTTTTGCCTGTGTTGTAATTAATTTGGACAAACACACCCCAACTCACTGGCTCGATTCCGCAAGATGACATGCGCAACCCCCATGCTCTCCCCAGCAATTGCTTCACGGTGTTTAGGCTCCGAAGGGGCCCCCCCTCTCTGTGTGCTTGGGTCATGTTTGGCTCCGTACATTGGCACCTGAAGACGCACGCACGAACCGTCGGGACAGGGACCCGCAGGTCAGCGAGTCGACGAGCGTGGCCACTTTACAGCTTAGGGAAATTGAAACATATTGAAACACGGTCAACCCAAGCTACTAGTAACAAGGGCATCTCCACTAACTAAGGGCATTACGTAGCAAGACGCTACTAGTAACATGGGGGTCTGTAAAAAACACGGCTGAGAGCACACTCATTGAAGCCACTTCGCCAATCCTTGTGCAAGCACCTCTTCGGTCGAGAGTATTCCAACGTTGGTGTTTTCACCGTTTTCCCCCTCGCACCGGGAAGATGCGGCTCCGGGATCATCGGACTGCTCTCGAGGTGGTTCCCGCGCCAGGCAAAAACTGCAGACCAGATTGCTCAAGGGGTACAAGGATGGTACAAGCATATGATGCAGCATGGCTCAGAAGAAAAGAACATCAAAAGAGCTGCAACTTTGCACTTACCGGACTTATTCAAGTCACTACAACGATTTCCAGTCAACAGCCTTTTGTCATTCTGTTCGATTTCCGGTTGGTACGGTTCTACCACCATGGAATCTCCGGATTCTCCAGTGCTTGTCTCTGTGGTGACGCCAAAGTCGATCACCAATGGCGGGACAGACTGGAACAGGCGGGTTTCATGAATTTGTAGACGGAGATCTGGAGCCATTCACGGCCATATGATTGCCAAGGATCTTTCTTGCCCTATAGAGATATTGGAGTCAATGTTTCTTTCCGACGGTCGGTACTTTGATCATCTTCGATCTTTCCGACGGTCGCTTCAGGATGCGACACGAGGGTATCCTTCAAAAAGATATATACACATCGATTCGACAAGGTGTTTCGATTCGATCCCTTTCATTTCGAGCATCATTTGATTGTGCTATTTATATATATATATATACTTTGAAGCAAGTGGCGAACTATATATCTGAAGGATCGGCCTGGTCGCAATCTTAAAAGACTTCTCAGGCAAACCTCTGCGAGTTCGAGCATCATGGGCTTTGGCGCCCTGAGCCCTAGTGGCCCTAGTGTCCCTAGGGGCCCTAGTGTCACTTGACGCTCATGGCCCGCTTCGTTCACCTTTTGGACTGGTGGTTTGATGAACATCTCTGTGTTCTCAGTTGGACGCACACGGGCAAGCTGGGCTGGAAGGGAGCCAGCTGCAGTGTTGATCCGGGGGCCCTGAAACCTCAAATCAAATTGTTTTGGGGGCTTCGGACATGTTTAAGACATGTGTTTGCATGGCAGCCACCCTGTTTAAGATCTGCATTTCACTGGTCAAAAACCTATTCGGTGAACCTGGAGAGGCCATTTGGGAGATGGGATGTGGGAGATGGGATTTGGGGTGAGGGAAGCTTGCTTCAGTAAGAGGGAATTGATTCAACAGAATTTGTGTCTTGGAATAGGGCAGACCCCTCATCAATCTGTGCACTGAATCCACACCGAGCAATTCCTCAGCACATACAGGATCACACAAGACTGGGCCACAATCATGGGTCGCGGAATCTGGTGATCCTCAGAGATGAGAACTTGCTCTCAAATGATTTCGATTGCGGCAGCTGCTTCTGAATCACCACGGATCATGGGATTGTGTTTTGTTGTGCCTTCATTTTCAGATATATTCAGAACATCAGTAGTGCCATCAGCTTGATTCACACCCATGAAAGGAACTGAGCAAATAGCTCGACATCCCGGACATCCCGCCTGGTTGTTGATTGTTTGTGATTGCTTGGTAGGATGTCTTTTTGGGGTGTGATAGCTAATAGTGTGTCCAAGTTGGTCGACATATAGATTTATCCTTTCTCTGTTTTGATGGCCCCACAGTCACAGTCCCTCGGTCATTTGGACAAACATCAACTAGCTCTGTCGTATGATGTGGCGCCATCTGCTGTTGACTCTTGATAAAACGCCGATCATTCTTCCTACGCTCTTAGAGTATTCTGGGAGGTTTATGAAGGCTACTGTCCACATCGCGCTTCAGGGTCATTTGCGGACGCCATTGCCCAGCTTGCTTGGTATGACTTGCCTTGCGAAGCAAGGCTGCTTCCGGGTTCCATTGAGGGTGATTGGGGGAACAGGAGGAAAACTGAGCCCCTGGGGCTGGAGTTGTGACTGGACCAAGCAGCGGAAGAAGTGATGCACCACGTTTAGAAGACGTTGATTTCCGACGCTCGTTAGTCCAAGGAGCAAGTTATATGCTACGTTGTATTCCATTATACTACGTACGTTATACTTTGCATTTGAGCAGAAAAGTAGAGGTGTTGGGCCATTCTGGCAGCAGGAACAAGACAAATGGTTTGAACATGTTGCAAAAACAATTTAGCTACCCTTTTCCAGCAGCTAAGAGTCACTTAACTCCGGAGTACTCTCTCCTCTTCTTGTAAAATTTAAAACTCAGGCCAGAAGAGAACGCCATGCATTTTGCTGGCACACAAAAAACAGACCTCACATGCAGCACAATCGCAGGCGACGGGCATTCCCAGCAAGACGTTTCGATCAGTCGGTCAAATTCACCGGTGACCTGGGCGGAAGAGTTTATGAGTTTGGCCAGAATTTTGCAGCTGGTTGCTCCGCATGTGAGTTTTCTTTTGTTTGGATAGAGGTGGTGCTCCGCATCACATGCCCGAAGGAGGACACCAATTCCTCGAAGGGTGTCTAGTCGTAGGTTCGTTCGTCTTTTTGACCTTCAGACTTTTGTAGACATGTTTCTATTGGGCTCTGGCTTCACACAGTCTTCACATCGTGCGGCATTTTCCGATTTTGGGACCGAGCTGATAGGTGGTGCCCAGAATGTGGGTCACAGCATTGATGGGACAGATTCATTTGCGCATGGGAAGCACGTTTGATCTCGATAGACTGATGGCATTTGCTGACAGGGTGGATTTCATCCGCGTTGTCCTCTTTTCTGGTCCTCGCAAGTGGTAACCGGGTCCCAGAAATCCTGGAGGAGGGTTGACTGACACACCTCCGGTGTGTGCACATGATATGTGTTTATAGTTATGTGTTTTTGGTCCACCACTTCACACATCTTCACCCAATCCGGCCAATGACTCATCACCGTTCTTGGGAAAGGCACAACAATGCCACCGCAACGGCGCGACATGGAGCCAAATCGGACCAATGACTCATCATTTATCTCCCCACATGGAGAGTGAGAGCTGAGTCTTGAGGCCAACTCCAGACGGGAAGGCGACTATCTCCGTGCCCCGACAAACTCCGGAACTGGGAGGAAAACTCGACCTCACATTGGCATTTCAGTGCAATCGTCTATCTCGTCGGTTCGTGGGTCGACAAGGATGGGCCGGGGGACCCTGCCCGTTCTAAACCCGATGCTTAGAGGAGGTCGAGGGTTCCGCTGGTGGAAAGCCATGGAAATCCACGTGGTAGGCTTGGAATGGTGTGTGTAAAACTCTGTGAAAGGCTTCATGAGGAAGCACAAGTTGATGGGAGGAAAACTGGATGGTATCGAAACTGTTTCGGTATGTTTCTGTTTGGACCTCAGGATTTGTTAGGTGATTTCAAAGGAATAGGACACTTGGCCTATTTGACACTTGGTCTTCATTAAAATATCTTCAACCAAGGGCCGCCTTCAATCTTCTACAACACATTCTTGAGGCCAACCAAAAGGTCGCCTGGTTCCGATGGGGGAACCTCGGTTTCTGCTTGGCACGGTGGACCATGGAACCTGCGCAGCCGCTGGGGAGTGAGAAATTCGGATACGAAGAGATTGGGTCCGGAAATTATCCGGTGGATTGGTGGACCTTCTTATCAGATGTATGAAAGATGTTGCACATGAGAGTCTTGTGCATTTGAAGGTTCACATGCTACATGCTGAGTTAAACTTTGCGTGCAGCCTGAGGTAGCGATAGTGACTCTATTATGGGAGAAGTTCAGGACTGACGCATGATGCCCTGCTGGGGATTCAGCTCAACATCTATGGAGAAGAATGGTATGACTGAAAGAATTGTGCATCCTTGTCACAGTCATAGAACGACAAGCTGTGGTTATGCACTGCTACCCGTTTCTTTTTTTTGGGGGGGAGGGGTGTGGAAGTGTGTGACAATGCAGCGATGTATTATACAAAAGAAGCAACTCGGACCAAGCTGAGCTTTCGTTTCTGAATTCCCCTCCCTTTGTTGTTGGCACACCAGCGCCAACTGGAGCTCTCACCAATAAGTGATGGTTTTCCCAACCTTCCCGACCCATTGCTGTCATCAACCCACTGGGAATGGTATGAATTGCATATCGAACAGCACGGTGCTGCTCGTCGCTTCCAAGCCGCATCTTTAGACTTCCAGATCAGGTTATGTGATGATAGATGCCTCATGTTCCTTTAAGACGACTTGGATATTAGATTACACGTATAATTTTTGCAATATTTTCCACATGGCTTTCTACTATGAGCTTGAGGAAGGCACAGTAGACTTTGCGTACTTTTCGAGCGGTCAGGAACGAATTAGTCGGATGGAACATAAGTTGTTCATTCTCGACAGCAAAAGCGAAGCGGCAGCGTGACTGGGCGAGCAGTGGAGAGAAGAGAGGGGAGGCCATCACTCCTGGGGTGGAGGCCATCGCTACTAGGGTTATCAAAGTCTTTCATTGGAGAGAGCCTGTTTTCAAAATTAAAAACCAATATCAAACAAGGCAATCCCAAAAGTCAACGTAAAAAAAAAAAAAAATCAAATCATAAAGTTTCAGAACATCCAAAACATGATGTCACTTTGCACAGATCCGACTGTTTTGACTTGTTTTCGACCTTTTATATGTCTATTTTTTCTCCGACTATTTTGATTTTGTTTTCGACGTTTTTTATTTGTTACTTTGTTTCGAGTGGTTGACTTTTTGTTCACTTTTGTTGACTTTATCGAGTTGTTTTGTTGATTTTGTTATAGACTTTTGTTTGACATGTTTTCGACTTTTTGTTCGACTATTTGTTTGACTTTTTCGAGCTGTGGTCTATGTTTGACTGTTGTTTGATTGTGTTTTGTTTTTGTTCGACTTGTTTGACATTTTGTTGACTTTGTTTTGACTTTTCAAATGGATGTTTTTTTGACTTTGACGTTTCCATTTGACTTTCTTTAAATGTTAATCAAGGATTAGGGTGGACGCCATCGCTAATAGGATGGAGGCCACCGCTACTGGCGTGGAGGCCATCGCTAGTAGGGTGGACATGTGCCAGATCAGCTTCTGTCAGGTATCAGGGTCAAAATCCGCTGGAATCACCAGCCGGCGCTGGGTCGGTTCTTCTTGACACAGGACGGACGGTGTAGACGGCACACCCAAGGCTTCAAGGGGCAGTGTAGACCTTCAGCATCCTTCAGCAATCTGTAGATGTAGACTATTGATTCATACTGCAACCCCCGCTATGAAGACCTTGTTCAATCCTGTGAAGACGTTTGCCTCCCTCATACGTCAGGGGATCAGTTTGATCTGTACGTTGTTCGCGTTGAAATCACCAAGGATGTCGAGCGTGAAAACCGCTCAGTCAGGCGGGCTTTGTCCAGAAGATGATTCGCAGGAAGGGCTAGAAGGATAGAGAAGGTACCTGGCACCAGGGCAACACAAGGAAGACCCCCCAATTGACACGACTGGGCATGATCCCATGTCGAGCCAGTGTGGACGGATAATAGATGGTGCTTCGAGACCTCTCATTCTGTGTAGAAGATGGTAGCTGCATGTGTGACGCTCGATCACACGATCACAGTGAATTCAGCAAACCGCAAACCATCCGTTCCTTAAAGGTATTAGTAACAAGAAGCTATTAGTAACAAGTGCCACGCTAGTAGTAACAAGTGCCTTACTAGTAGTAACAAGAAGCTATTAGTTAATTTAAAGGTTTAGGGTGGAGAATTGGCCACCCGAACCTTCCAACTGTCGACTCGACCATACTCGACCTTCAACGGTCCAACGGTCGAGTTTTGGAAGGTCTTCCACGGTTTGCTGTTTGTTGGGTGCGTTAAGACGCTTTGAGTTCGCAAAAACTTTGGCAAACTAACGTAACCATGCAACTGCTCATTTCTGGGCAAACTCCCACAAAGGTCCTAGAGCTGTTGCGAAGCAACTCCTCAACGTTTCGCATTTGTTGAATGATCAGATCAGAGCCTCAAATAAGTCCCGCAAACAGCAGCAGATCAGAGACCCAAACGCGCAGGTCTTAAACATTAAGGTACCGTGTTGGCGTTTGCAGCGAGACAGAACTACTGCAGTTCGTGCTGCTCGTTTCAACTACTGCAGATTCGCAGATCCCGCCAGGTCAGACAGTAAGAGGCAATCCTTGGAATTTGTAGTTACAATATTTTCGGAGATTCCATGGCACGTTTGGGTTTGAAGGGATGGCGGTGCTTTTTTGGACCCCCATTTGGTTCATAGGACGTTTGACATAAAAGCTAATTACAAGTTCTTGATGTCCCCCCCAAAAGAAAAACAAAAAACATATAATATATATATATATATATATCTAGGCATATCGGAGTGCTTGGGAACTGCATCGAATCCGAGAAAGAAAGTGGTCCAAACAATCGAATAGGATACAGAGAGGTGTATGAACATGGAGGTTTGGCCTGTTTTTCGTTTTGACCTGCTTCCACGGTTACCTTCACCAGAATCCATCAAGAACCAATCACACTCTTGATGTTTCTTGAAGTTTCTCGTGGCAAAAGCATCTCTGGATGTCCCGGGTTCGATGCTGGATCGACCAACAGGGGGATCCCATCCGACCTCTCACCATCGGTGGGCTCTCCGACAGGTATGCTCCCTGAGTGGGGTGATGAAAGCCAAGGTACCGAGCTCGGAGCGACCGAGCTGGGAGCGGCTGGGAGTGGCATGCCAGACCAGAGAACGACACTTTTTGGGAATAGTCATGGGAAGGAAAACCCCACCTGTTTGAAGAGGAAAACCATGGAAAACATGTGCGTGTGAGAAAAGCCCGCCATATATGTGAGTGGACCTGTGTCACTGGTGCGTGTGTTATTTGTTCTTCCCGCAGTGCTGCAGGTCCACGTTTTGACCTTTGTCCTCGCAGGGTTCTTCAGGAGTATTTTTGGGCGTCAATGTGTGTGTGTTGTTATTTTTTTCTCCCCCACCTTGATACATGACATTTTCAAAAACAAACTCGTTCTGTGGTGTCCTCGAGACTTCTGAGGCTCCACCTTTTGTTTAAGCTTGCACGGTGGCCGGCCCAGTTTCACCGGGTCACAGGTTCCCCCATCTGGTGAACGAGACACTGACTAACAACCCCTCGAGCAAATCAAGTCCACGATATGGAGTGCATAGTGGATTGCATGTAAACATGAAACATGTGTGAACCTTAGTAGCAAACAATGTACCGTTAGGTTTCTAGGTGAACCACATGTATAGAAACAAGGTTTGTTTACCCGGTCTAGAAACAATGTACATGTGTAGTTCGATTTCTGACCCTGCAGGTCATTCCCCAACCCTTTCAGCCTCAGTCAGCCTCCAGACGAGGAACACATAAAAAGATAGGATGGCCCAAGTGAGATGGACACCAGCAACAAATCAAATGCAGGAAGAATCTCCTAACAGACCCAAATGCTGCTTTGTGAATAGAAACACACAAAAAAATAACAAGCGTAGACCTGACACTATTCCACCACGTCATATGTTCAGGAGTTCTAGTCCACTGGACCATTTTGTTTTTTCACAATCATCGTTGTTCCTGATGTTTTCATGTTATTATTTTCCGATCCCTTCCACAGCGTCTCTTCCACAGCTTCTCTTGTTGGGGGTAGTCATGAGCAGTTGGGAATCACCACGTGAATGACCAAGCGGAGGAACAAAACTCCTATCCGATGCTCAGTTTGATTGTAACAGGCGAGGATGACCATAAAAAGAAGAAGACCTGTCGAGCCGCTTGCCTTTCCAGGAACAAGGTGGATTGGGGGAAAATGTGAATCGAACACGCAGTTTCTGATTGGACTTTTGTTCAGCCCTGATTGACGATTGGACTTTTGCCCTCATTAGATTTGCCCTGATTGCATTGGGCTGGTCGATTTGGGTCGTTCACCAAGTTCTCCACCGGAAGTCTCCATCCCTTCGTTTTGGGTCGTAGACTCACCCTCACTGGAAGCAGCAGCGACTGGACAGAAGTGTGCACTCAGGGTGCATGAAATCGCTGCTTTCTTGTTGGTTTTGGAAGTCGCAGTGAATTACATTCCAATATTTTTCTCTTGAGGATTGCAAAATCCTAGATATAGGTTGATCAATGGTGATTCAAATGGACCGTTGGTAGAGCCAAGCGGCCAAGCTCCCATGTGGTAATGATGTGTTTCTATATATTATTACCTTTTAAAGCCGCAGTCACACCCAGATTCCACCTCACAGTCCTTCCACATTCTCATGTCCCTCATCCCAGATTCCCTTTCGGCGGGCCATCATCGCCACGGTGATCCTTGGGGCGCTCTTGACCTGTGTGCTCACGTGTTTGGGCACGAGTCGATCGACATGTCCCACATGTTTTGATGCATGACATCACAGGATCATCAAACGGGTGTCGTTTTGGTGTCGTCTTATGTTTTGTGTGTTTTTGTTGCATGGGTTGGTTGTCAACGCGGTCGTCTACCAATCTTAGGATCCAGACCGTTTGAAGTCGTCTGAAAAAAAACGAGTGTGTTTCTGTGTATAGTCAAGACTGAACTCGTTCAGATCGGTGTGTTTTTTTGAACACTCATTTGCATGTTGCATCTTCGACAGTGTGTTTCTCTAAAGGGCCCTAAAGGAGACATTGACCGCGGAGCTTGGCCGGAGGAAGAGGCTAGGGGCCTATAGAGCCTAGTGATTTGTGCGATTTTTGTGGAAGAGCCTTTTTGATGTAGACTCAGACTGAGGTTTCTTCCCTTGCTTGACTTTACGGTGCAATTGCAGACGGAGACTGCCAAGACCCTTGGACCCAAGTTGAGGAGAAACCTCGGCGGGTGTGTTTTGCACTCAAATTGCTTTGTCGATGCTCTTGTGATATCAAAACTGCCTGAGGTTCCATCGAACAGAAATGGCAATGTCAGGGGACAGACTTGTAGAGTCACGAGGCTCTTGCAGTCTTGAGTGCCTCTCAGCTCTTGGCAGCTCATTCGGCCTAGAGGGTCCATGTTCGCCTGCGATTCGTGCCTTCCAGGTTTGCTCACCAAGGAGTGTGTTAGATGTGGCACATGTTTTGCTAAAACCGGGTTTTGTCTTTTTGAGGCAAACAAAAATCAGGCTCAGACTGTCAGAGCGGTTTGGACCGGATTGGACCATGGGATCCGGTGTCAAACCCATGGGATCCCAATCGTCGAGAAGTGACACAATACACCGTCCGACACACCGAAGCGCCCAAGCCCTTTGCGCCGAAGCTGCTGAGGGGAGGGGGATAAGTAAGCCCTAACCACACCAAGAAGTGCTGGAAGTCACTAGGAGCACTGTCTTTTGCTCGTTTCTGGCCAGGCTTTTCCTTTGTGGATTGTAGTCTGAGTGTTATGTTTTCTGTGCATGTGCGCAATTTGATCATAGACCCCTGCATGACAGAGCTATCCTCAACGAGCAAGTTAAAAGTTTTGGGGAGTCTAGTCTAGTGACAACCGGCCCTCGTCTATGCTCCGGCGGGCTGCTTGGGCTGTAGTTCAATTTTATCCACACAACCGGTTTCAAGCTTTCATGTTTGTTTGTTGTTAAACAGCTGCATTACACACAGGGTAAACAACTCAGGGTAAACAGTCAATTAATAACAACTTACCCTCGATCAATATGACATCGACTGCTATGACAATTCAGCATTGAAAACTGTCCAGGCCTACGCCATGCAGATCTCTTGCAGAAAATTTGAGACTATAGTGACTACCATCGGGTTACAAATATGTGTGCACATTGAATGCTCAAATCACTCTTGAAACATGACACTACTCACTACTGTCCTTGAAGATACATTAGGCAACGCTACCACAGGTACTGTATGGATGCGGAAGACTGACCTACCTGAAATCCGTGATTTGTGTCGAATGGTTTATATGATCAAAATATTGGCATATATAGATATACTGTTCGAAGAGATGAAGTTGGATGATGTTTAACTACCTTTTGGCTTTTTGGATCTCAACGATGAAAACACCAAGCAGAAAGCTCTTGATGACATTGGTGGATGCGCATCGCTTTTTGTCGGGCGTTGGCCGGTGTGCACTGTTGATTCATGATGCATAGTACTCAGTCAGCGGACAAGCTAACATCCGGTGGAAAAGGGTTGGCCTGTATTTTCCAGGGAAACACCTTGGGGGTCAGTACTGTTTTCTGGATCTTTGAAATGCTCCATCAGCTTCAGGAGTGTTTTTGTTGAAAACCCAGCGCCCATACACTAAGACGCGAATTCGCATGATTCCAGCGCACGCCTCCGCGAAACTTCCTCCCACACGGACTGAGGAATTTTCAGAATTCAGTGGGTCGTCAATTTGAGCTGATTGAAGACCTGTCCACTCGAAATGCCTTGTTTCTACACCGTAACCGATGCGAAAGATGGGACAGATGGGTGGATGGAGGTGTGGATGGAAGCCAGCAAAGATACACCGCAGAGTCAGGTTTTGATAGGTAGTCACAGTTATACACAGTTGTTGTGACATTGGCAGTCATGTTATGTGTTAAAGTTTTGCTCGCACCTGGGATCGTCTTTGCTTCGGAGCATGCCACGACACCAGGCACAACACCTCGATGACAGCAACGATATGTTTAGGGTGTGGCCGACACCACCAAGATTGGTTTACGGAAGATTGGTTTTATGGAACCTGCTTTTAAGTGATATGGCTTACTGGTGGAATTTGATGAGCTTGACAAGTACCTTGATATCTCAGCATCAGAGGGCCTTTATCTTGGGGCTCTAAAATTGTCAATGTCAGCTCCGTTTTCGATTGTCAATGTCAGCTCTGTTTTCGTTCGACGCGGATCGGGCGCGCTGTTCGACTCCGACTGATCGAGCGCATCCAAAAGATCGGTGTTTCCGCGGAGTGTCCGCGGCGTTTCCTTGGTAGTGACAAGACAAAGCTTGAAACCGTTGAGTTAATGGGTCGTCTCCCATCATTTGTCCCAGATGTACTTGAACATTTCAGTCAGTTTTTTTGTAGAACTAGTAAACCACAACATGTATGACCGAATGGCACCTTCAAGTGACTTCTTTGGGGGCTGTGGTCCAAATCCTTTCGGGTTGAAAGGGGTGTAACGGTCTTTGAAATGCTTTTCCGTTCGCTCAAGTTCGCAGAGCACGCTCGCATGCGTTTTTCGTTCAGCGCTCCGTATCGCTCCGTTCCGTTCGCTGAGTTTGCACATGGTTCTTTTGGGTTCTTTGGCTGTGCTTGGTTGAGCCGTGAGCCTTTCAGGTAATATCCTCCAAAGGATCAGTGGTATGGTGTGGGAGACAGTGCCTTGGCGCATTCTGCGGCCCGCACATCGAAAAGGGGCCGGAGATGTGGGCAAGCACATCGAAAGGGGACGGGGTATCATTTTGGGAAGTTCCACCTAGCAGTTTTCATCAAGTTGTATCTTGTTGTGCAAGTCGAGAAGTCGCATTCAGACAGTGAATCAGTTGATCTTGCCTTTGCACAACCAGCTTTAGACTAAGAGCCAGCACGTGCAATGCTTTGCAGCACCGATCTCCCAAAAACCCAGGTTTTGGCTCCACCTGATCTGGCGTTGGATGCCCTATGGGGCGACATGTTGCTGGGCATATGCATCTTTTTGGGGTCTTGCTGCGGGCTCAATGAAGGATTTCTTCAGCAGTCTGGTGATTGGATCTATCATATGTGCGTTCACCTTCCATAGTTGAGCGATGTTGAGCGTAGGGGTGCCGAAAAGTCTCGCCATCTGGCTGGAACAAAGATATTTGAGACAATGGATGCTGCAGGCAAGCGCATCATGCGCTTGATTCCTCTTGGACTGGAGCCAGCGAAGCTTGGACTTGCAGAGCGTCCTTCAAGGCCTTTTCAGCTGTCGAGTTCGACCCCTGCTCACTCAATACCGAGGATGGCCAAAGAGCCTTCATTGCATATCGTGCATTCTTGGAGCTTCAGAAGCAGCAACTCGGCGGAATTTGGCATAGCCTTGATCACCTGCAAGTCGTACCTCTTGGGATGTAGCAAGGATGTTGCTGGACCAGCCAGCGAAAAGCATGAAATCTGATCATCCTTGATCTTTGCCCAGCACAACCACCCCACTCAAGGGTAGGTCAGATCATTAGAGACATGTTGCAAGTTGTGTACAGCATTCCCCTTTGGAATACACCACAGTTGTATCGTCTCCTGCAGCATTTGTCCACCTTTCCGACCGGTGTGCCAAGCTGCTTTCCGAAATCCAAGGCAACAGAATGTGAAATTAGCCCAAAAACGTCAAAAACGTGGCTCGGAGAAGGTTGAGGAGCATCTTTGGGGCAAATTGAAGAATTGCAGTTTCATGCTTGTCTACTGACACAAGCATGGATGGTCTATATTTTCCGTTTTGTGAGTGATACAATGGCTCAAGTAGGATCAGTATGTGGCGGGCGGGGAAGTGGGAGTTTGAAGAAGCAAATCGGGGCTCGCAACGCCCCGTAGTTTCAAGAACATCCTCAAAGGCTTATGTTTGTTTGATGACTGCATTGGCGCAATTGACCTCCCTTGGGACGAAGGGAGTAGACCTGTTCTAGGGCTGAATAAAACTAGATCTGCGTCTGTCATTTCTGTTGGAAGCCATTGTAGCCCCAGCTGCAGATTTAGTTGATGTTGACTGACGCGAGAACCCCAAGAATGGTGGTGCTCATGAAGGTTGTCACATTGCTGCAACAGAAGTAGGGTTCTTGCCAAGTTCTGAAGGGGGCCAAAGCTTATTTGATGTATCAAAGGGACTGTGAATCAACGCCCAAACCCATCATACATTTTGGAAGGAATAAGGTAGGGGCTTGAACAAGTGCTTACATGCCCTGCAAAAGCAAGGTTTGCAACCATGTTGGTGCTAGTAATACTGATTGTTCCACCAGTTTCGGTCCATGTCCCTTGCATAATATGGGTAATTATTCTGGGACAAATAACAGTTGGGTGTTCCACAGCCTCCGGAAATCGCTTGTAACGAACAGTTGGCCCCTAGTACACAACATGCACACACACACACACACTACAGAATCACATGTTGTCGCTCTCCACTCCTCCATCCTCCAGACCAAAAGCATTGACTCTCGCTCAGGATTCGGCGCCGCCGACTTCCTCTACGTGGCCTTCCAGGGCCGCTTCTCACAAACAAAGAAAACGTTGCAAACGCATGAAAACGCTGTAATTTGGGGCTTGCTGGGGAGTCGGATCAGCACTAACAAGCGAAAGCGACAGAAAAAAGCAACGAGGATGTGTCTGGGATCCTTTAAAAGGTGGACGACCACCGCCTTTCGTGATCGCATGGAAGCAAATGAAGAATTTCTCTTCTTCGAGTGAACATGTATTGACAGACTATCCTGACAAACGCTGCCTGCATTGACACAATGTTCTGACACCTGTTCTGGCATCGAGTTTGGTCTGCGTTCTGAGACATCATCTATCATAAAGGCTGGGAAATGTTCTGGAATGCGTTCTGACGACCTTAAGGCATGTGTTCTGACTTTTGTCCTGCCATGAAGTCTGGCATGCATTCAGACAACTTCTAGCATGTACTTCTGATATGTGCTCTCGCACCAAACTGGCATGTGCTTTGACATGTGCTTCGACATATGGTCCAACTTTGCTTCTGATATGTGTTCGGCCATGCATTCGACATTGCCATCAGACCTGCCACTTGTTGCGACATATGTTCTGATACAGATTCAAACAAAATTCGATATTGCACAAGGCAATGAAGCGACGACTGGCACATCTTCTGACATCCTTCCCGCACTTCATCACGAAAGGTAGCGGTTACGCTACCTGAGTTTTCCTTTTGCTTTAGCAAAAATGTATTAACCCAGAGCTGCAGCCTATCTCTCGGAGAAATGGTCCCCGACATCTTCGTTTGCTGGCCGGGGGGGCCCCCCCCCCCCCCTTTCAACCCCACCCTAGCGCGCCTCGGGGTCAACCGTTCGAAAACACTGTAAATATCAGTGTTTTCAGCTCTTCCAGTCCTCAGCAGTGACAAAAAATCATGGAATTTACAGCGTTTTTTGTGGCTGTCCGGCAAAAAACACCACAAAAACCGATGGTTTTTGATGCGTCTCGGTTAGAAAAATGACCGAAAAAAGACCAAAAACCAGGAAAGATTTTGTCAGAAAGGGTTTTTGAGGCTTTTGGAGGCTTCAAAATTGCACAAAACTATGGTATTTACAGGGTTTTGTGCACCTTCCCGGCAGAAAACGCCGGTATTTACACGGTTTTCTGCGCTTTTCCAGCGCTCAACCGTGGTGCGCCTTTGGATCGACGGCTACAAAATACTGTAAATACCAGTGTTTTCAGCTCCTCCTGTCTTCAGGCGTGGCCTTAGACCTTGCCGCGGCTGTGGATCGACGGCAACGAAACCTCGTAAATACCAGTGTTTTTGAGCACGTCCTGTTTGCAAGCATGGCCTGCGGCCACGCAATTTACAGGGTCGCCGCACGTCACTATGTAAATCCGAAGTTGCATTTGAGAAATATGTGACTCCTTTTGAAGGCACGTCAACCTGTATTGAAACCGCTAGACCGCTACAGCTTCTGGAGGTTTTGTCAAGCGTTTGTGCATTAGTTTTTCTTTCATCACGCTCACTCACTTCTCTTCAAACAAGTGGGGGGCCTCTCACCTCCTCCCGGATTACGCCTGATTCCCTGCTACCTTTCGTTCACCCCCCTCCTCTCTCAAGTTTGGTATACCTTTTGGCCTTTGTTCTGGCATTTTTTCTGACAACTGTAAATTCTTGCATATCTTCTGACATTTTTTCTGGCATATCTTTTGACATCCTTTCAGAAAATAGTCTTTTCTGGCATTCTATCTGGCATATCTTCTGGCACTCTCGAAGGTGCGCAGGTCCGCATGTTCAGACAGAGCAGGACAGGGAGGAAAAGGAGGACTGCCACCTTTTGTCAAAATCTATCAAAATCTCAAGACCCTCTCCTGGCAGGTGGGCAAAAAAAAACAAAACAAATCCCACTTTCAGGGCTGTAGTGGCTGTGGACCTCGGCCCCTCGTGCCCGATTCAAGTGGCCCCAGGTGGTCGCTTCACCGGGACATCCTTGACATCTGGGCCTGTGGAGGCGAGACCAGGGCAGGTCGGGACAGGTCTTTGGAAGTTCGATGTTGTTTGTTCTTTATTTTCCAGATTGGGTGTTCCAGACAACAGACTTGTATTTTGGGCGAGAAATGTTAGGGTCAATTTGCCTGGGATATCTATTGTGCAAAAACGAAGGTTGGTACGTAGATATTTCGAGTAAAGCAAGCAGCTACCCACACCATGGCCCAGTGCACTCACAGTCACGAAGTTCTGAAACCAATTCTCACATAGATGGCAATTGTTTTTGGATTGAGTCCACCTGATTCTCCCACAGGGTGGTTTTAGACGGTCAATGGATGGTGGGATCATAAGCGTGTGGATCATTTTTTGGGAGACACGGGCACTGGATCTTAGAAGGTGAAACCTGGGAGTGCCCTTTCCTCGACCTGTCACCGTGTGCCAGGGCCGCTGGTGGGATTGCCCTGGCCATGCAAAGACCGCCGAAGGCGCTTTTGCACAGCAAAATATCAGTAGACATGACACTTGGAAGCGGAGAGACCGGCGTTCCAGCGTTCCACGGATGTTGAAACATGCATGAAGAATCACGGAGATCTCCAGAGGATGGTGAAGGAACAGGAGATCTCAGAATGTTGTTTCCCGCGCAAACATCCAACCAGTTGTTTGTGCATTGCAATCACTTTTAAATACACGCCCTTCTTTGGATGCTGTTGCTGAGGATCCAGCCTGTGGAGGGGCATTCCCCTTGGAACGACCTTGGTACAGACTGCAATCGACGCAATCTGGTCCCACAAAAAGGTTGTCTCATGGCGCTGACGTGAAGAGATGTTTTGGTTGCAGACGGAATTTCCTATTGAGCATTCCGAGCTTGTCATATCATGTCATGTTTTGTGCTGTTTTGTGCGATCCATGCACTATATAGATGCTTATCATTCCTGAGCACTAGGCGATGCGTTAAACAATGTTTCTGCAAACATTGAGTTTAAAACCTTGAGTCAGTTTAAAGCCTTAGTCGTCGCGGCGGAGTCTAGAGAGTCTTCCAGAAGTGTCTCAGCAAAGTCTTACGGAACAGAAGAATTTGTTGGTTGATACACGCACAGTCAGGCTTGGTGTTCATTATTATAGCTTGCGATGGACAATGAACAATCAGTTTTGCCAAGTGATGTGTTTTCAGTCAGCAACTTTTTGCTGAGGTGGTCTGGGCTTTATACCTACTTGGATGGCAGCATTGGATTGACCAAAACTGCACCAGTGGCCTACTGCGGGGACTACTCCTGCTTCCAGGCCCTGAGATCAATGCCTTCTCCATTTTAGACGTCTTGGTGAAGAACAACTCCACCGGCGGGCAGGATCTGAACCTGCCTGCTTCTAACGAAGAGACATGGAGAATGACTTGTGATGGCTTGCACAGATGGACCAGCCTGTTCTGACTTGAATGACATCCACTGCTTGACCTCCCCTGTTGATCCCCTTGACATCCAATCAAGTTCAGAGTAGACATACGATCAGTTATGTTATGTCATGTTTAACTAGCAGTTAAGCACACAGGAACAAAATGTTTGTGCTGGGGTATTTGGAAAATGTTGTTGTCAATAGCACGGCAAACTTTGGTCGATACTGGGGCGGGGTGAGCGCAGATGTACAATTCCACATACACAACCTAATAGCGATGGCCTCCAACCTAATTAATAGTGATGGCCTCCAACCTACTAGCGATGGCCTCCAACCTACTAGCGATGGCCTCCAACCTACTAGCGATGGCCTCCAACCTACTAGCGATGGCCTCCAACCCGCTAGCGATGGCCTCCAGCCCGCTAGCGATGGCCTCCAACCTAATAGCAATGGCCTCCACACATATCCATCTTGCGTGTTCCTTGCCTGTTTTTGCTGATCTCCCCTGCGGCATGGATCACCGCAGGGCGTAATCGCAGCAGACATTACGCTGCAAGCGGTGGGACAGAGCTGCAATGAGGCCAGCCGAGCCATGGGTGGGGGTTTTGGGGTTTTTGGGGTTTTGGGAAGGTTCAGAGAGGTTCGTATCAAGTCTACAGTTTAAGGAGGTCCGAAACTTTAGAGGCAAATCGGCAAATCTAGTTTCATTCTCTGCGAAGGTGACTGGATTCAAGTTGCATCTCCTCTCAATTGGACACCCTTAAGGTTCATTGCTCTTATTATGTGAAGAGGTCAAAGGAAAGATCCAAGATGTTGTCCCTTCTATTTCAAGTGATCCTGTCCAACAAAAACCTTCTCGCCAACAGAATTAGAAGGCACCACGGGCACTGTTTCTTCCACACAATCCTCACGGTCACTTTCGGTATTGAAGTCATCCCTCACCTGCCCTCACCAACCTAGGAACAAGAAGCTACTAGGGGCCTCCTGGTCTTACTACTAGGAGCGATCGGACGCTACTTTGGTCTCCCAAAGCCCGAACTCGGCGTGGTCGGCCTCGCGCCGAGCGCCAAACTGAACTCGGCCGAGCGCCGAACGGCGCCGCACCCGGTGCCACTGCCCTGCACCGGGCGCTTCTTGCTACTAGTAGCTTATTGTTACTAGTAGTAAGGCCAGAAGCTACTAGTAGCTTCTTGCTCCTAGTAGCTATGCCCTTTGTTCCTGGTAGCTTATTGTTACTGTATAGTAGTAATGGCCTCCAACCTAATAGCGATGGCCTCCACCGTGCGTAGCTTCTTGCTACGAGCTTCCTTCGCTGGGCGGCCAGGCTTTCCAGACCTTGAAAAAGGAACTTGAAGCCTCAACGTACCAATTTCCCATCGATCCGAGTTCCTCGGCACCCGACTATGATGGGTGATGAGTTGAAGGCAAGAAGGGGAGGAGTTCAGGGAACAACTTCAGTGAAACATGCAGTTTAGATAGTTTCAGTAGATGATGAGAATGCTGCTGTCAATCATGAACAGCAGGGTATAATTGTGTACAATATGTATATATGGTCCGGTTATATGGTATACATTTCTACTCACGGAGTCAAACTGGTGACACAGCTTAATAAGCAAACTACCGTGGACCTACACACATCTGACGAGTGATCCTCCACCCCTTCCAAGTCTGTTTTTTTTGTCGATCGATGTGGCGCAGTGCATCGATGCGGAAGTTTTCCCCTCGTTTTCCTATACCGTTTGCTTACTAGGGGCTCCTGGCATCGCTACGAACGGAGCACGAAGCTACTAGGGGCTCCTGGCCGTACTAGGAACAAAGGGCATCCCTACGAACGGAGCAAGGACGCTACGAACGTAGCTCCTGGCCTTACTACTAGGAGCAACAAGCTACTGGTAACAAGGGCATCGCGACTAGTAGCAAGAACGCTATTTACCGTTTGCTTTCATCCCACTATACCATGCTATGTGCAGAAACCCAAGGCAATGCCATGGTCTTCGTGGTGAACCATCAGAGCCAAGGCCCCGCCGCAGACAGCCTTCTTTCCGGTACGCGTCAAACGTAGAAGTTGAGTCTCAGAGAACCCTGCAGCAACATCGCGTTCTCCAAGATCAACATAGATCAACACTTGTTCCTTCGGAAGAATAATAGGGTTCCACGCGACCCCATCGCTAGAAAGGCACTATTTTTGCAGCATGTCTCCAACACCTGTGTTTGAGACAGAATCAACATCACGCACTTGTAGGTGGTAAGACCCTTAGGCAAACGGTCTGACGTCAGCGCTACCATCGCGACTCGCCTGAAAGACATGTCGTCCACTGACTCCACTGTCCATGTCCTTGTTTGGCCCAGTTGGGTCAGGCGTCAAATTGAAGCAACATTGTGCGACGTGTTTTTTAGATCTCCAAAACTCACTTGGCCATTTCAGTGGAGGCCCCCGGAACCCATTGATTTCGGTGGTGCTCTACAGGTTTTGCATGGGCTAGGAATGCAGGTGTTTAATAAGACTGAGGCACTCAGGGTGCTCATTTGCTGCAATCATCACCGTCCGGTTTTCGACAGGTTACTAGGGAGGGATTTTGTTCTAGAAGCGAGATCAACTCCCCCCATGAGACCATAAACCTTTTGTGTGAGGGTCAAGCAGGGTTTTCTCTGAAGTCAGAAAAATGCATCCGTTTGTTGGTGACACGTGATGCAGTTTTCTGGCTTCTCCCACAAGCCGGTGAGAGGTCACAGCAAGGACAGACACCTACTTGACAAGTGGACACTGCAAAGATCATGGAACCATGTTAGTGTTTTCCACAACACGGGTTTTCCTTCGAAGAAACACTCGTTCTGGAAAAACTTTGCAATGCAAGCCAATTCTTCTTCAACCGATCAACTCAGATAATCAGTGGATGAATCCATCCTCACCATCTCCCAAACCAACGAATCCGCTGCAGGACCCAGCCGCACAAATCCCTCCCATCGTGCTAGATGCCGTCGTCTCCAAGTTCCTCCCATGTCCTCTCCTCCTTTTTTGTGGCCCTATTTCCGTGCAATTCTCCTGCGAACCCAAACCCTTGAGTCAAGCACTGCGTACACTGCGCACTGCGCACCTTTTTGCGCACGGTACACTGCGCTCAGCTCAACGTCCTGGGCTTCTGGTTGGAGCTGCTGGCCTGCCGTTGAACCAGATCGTGGCAGCAGAAGACTCGCAGGAGGCAAGCGAGTAAAGCTTTCTTCGAAGAGCGGTGCTGGTATAGGGACAATTAGGGGATGAACTTTTGTGTTTCTTGTTGGACAAGTTGGGGACATGTGCAGAAAATTTGGGTGTGGTGTTGGGTACCTATGCTGCGGTTGTGCCGAAGTTGTCCGATCTTCTGGATCTCCAAGACATCCTCAGATCGGGAGACTCCCGATGTTTGAGTTGTGACCAGAGGTGCCATTTCATCCGCTTGGCATGCTGAAAAGGACATGTTTAAGATTTTGTGGGAAACGACCATGCTGCAGACGATTTTTGTTGAAGAGACCATCAAATTGCAGTGACCATCAAAATGGGTCTTTTGGGGGTCCAAGTGTACATCCACCTTTCTTGAAATGGGGTACTTATATGGTACTTATATAAATATAATCTTATATATAGTATTTCTTCATGTAATTCTTCATGTAATTTGGGTCCACGCTTGCCAAGCGACAGGTTTCGGGCCTTTTTTGTTTTCCTCGAAACGATTTCGGGTCAGTTATCTTTTTCAGAACAAGGGACTACGGTAGTACACTTGTTTCTCATTCTGTCCTATTTTCTGCACTGCACTCAACCACAATCATCATAATGAATCTTTGCATTGCATTGCAGTCACGAACCACACAATCATCATATTTAATCTCTGCATTGCACTGCTGTCAAAATCCACAATCCAAAAAATCCAAAAACAATCCAACCCAATGGATGTTTTTGCAGCAACAACTATTGGGTTATTAGTAATTAGTTGTTTTTTGGTTCATAGCATAAGTAATCCAAAAAAATCCAAAACTATTAACCCAATGCTCATTGCGGCACATTGGGTTGGATTTTTTGGATTTGTTTTTTCTTTACCTCTTCTGTTTGACTCGGCTCACAGCCTTGTTTTTCCTGCATAACTTGCATTGCCACTACCTCTCTGAGACTTGTCTATTGACATGGACGTGGAAGGCGAGAACATGTCTCTCAACGACGCAATCGGGGCAACCGAACATCCAACGCTGACAGAGCGGCCATGTGCACGTCGGTCCTTTGCCCATCGGATCTGTGACGACCTCCACTTTACCCTTGAAAGAGCTGCTAGTCTCCAATACGCAACCAAAATATGTTTGTTTTTCATTTAGTGTTCCTTTCCTTCTGGTCTCTTCTGCTTTCAGGGCGTTCAAACGCTTCCCTGAACATCAAGCACTTTGTCGACTTGGCGTGGGATCTCGAGCCTGCGGCCATTGACTTTGACAGTTTGAAGGCCATCATCCGAGACAAGGCTCGGCAAGAGCTTCCCGAGGTTCTTACTTTGAAGGAGCATCCAACCTTCTCCTTCTTGTCTCAGTTCTTTCTATTCTTGCAGAATGAGGGCAAGCTTTGCGTCATCAAGCACTACTACATCAAGACTGAGAAGGTGAAGCCCTCCTATGTATCCAGGCTTGCGCGGGCAGGCTAAGGAAATTGCTTGGGCATCTCTCAACAAGCAGCAGGCTCGTTGTGGCTTCCTGTGGGTGCTAGGTGGACATCAATTTTGGCATTTCTCTTTGTTTGCTGAGAAGGCCCGTTGAGCCAAAGCCATGCGCCTCAGGGCGAAGCTGAACAAGATGCTGGCTGGGAGCTCATCATCAGCAATGGGGAGAGGGGCAAGGAAACCAGCAAATGCGATGGATTCATCGGCATATCCAGAAAGAAGGCTTTCCAATCCATGGCTGAAACAAAAACCTGGTGCAAAGAGCCTTGGACTGTCTTGCCAACGACGGCTGCTCAGCTAAGTTGTCTGACCGATATGACCTGACCATCCAAGCTATCCAACCACAGATCCTGACCATTCTTGAAGATCTCTTGCCGCAGCTTCGTGGACACTCCTTGTGGTTGCTTCTTTAGAGGCATTTTCCTTGACAAGGCCACCTGCCATCTTTGGCGGTGGTGAGATTGGCTCTGAGACTGTCAAAAAGAAGAAGGCCTTCTCGGATGAGGCTGACTCAGAAGCAAGCCTAAAAGAGAGACTCTCTGTCTTCAACGGCGCAAAAATGCCATGTCCTAGCTTCATAAATAGCTTACAGCAATTTCTTACTGCTACTCGTCCCTGATGCAGGTGGACAGCTGCTAAGTTCGTCATGCACCAGCTCCGCATCGTGGTGGGTAACCAATACAACCCCGAAGGTCAAGAAGGTGACGCTGATGGCCTGTTCTCTTCGGAAGTGTTGCATGACCCTTTCACAAAGCTTGTTCGCCCAGCTGTGGGAAACATTGCCAATGCTGATGCTGTGGTAATTCTGGAGAGCTGCTTTCACAGTCCTTGCTGAGAAGTACATCTACTTCTGACCACCCAGCGAGAAGCACGTCCCAGTACAGAGAGTTGCTTGTATCAATCCAGACTCTAGGGACATCTTGGTGCAGGACTGCCAACCTATCCCGCGTAATTGAAAAATGGTGGGCCACAGCCAGAGAATTACGCAGCCTCAGTTGCATGGGAGACTCAGCAGCTCAAATAGGTTCTTCAAATATGACCATCCAATGTACCCCACTCCAACTCCTGCTCCTGCTGCTACCTCTACCGCACCTTGCTTGGATGCCTTGTTGCGCGCTGATGCTGCTTGCCTCCGCAACCTACTTCCTCTGCAAAAGCGTGGGCCTTCGCGTCTGGGTGTCCTTCGGCTTCAATTCCTCTAGCTGGTGTGCCCAAACTAGAACCTGCTGAGTACCCAACTGCGCATGTTTGGTTGGCGCAGGCGACACATGGAGATCTGGTTGATGTGGACCGAGATCGCGCAAGTGCTGGTTGGTCTTCCCCGGCTCATGTCACGCGGGAACCTTCCTTGAAGTTCGACCACCTTGTCTCCGTAACTACCTCTCCCATTGATTTGGATACACAGTCTCCTCCACTAGGGTCTTAGTGGCCCTGGTTCCAAGGTTGGCCTCCAAGACGGCTGCTTGATCCTGGCCTTGGAAAGACTTGGTCTTCCTGTGGTTTGTGATCGAGACGGACCATTCTTTGTCTCCTACGGCAACAGTCTTCTGTTTCCCGATAGTACAACTTGCCAATAGCACGGTCGGAAGCAGTTGCCAGATGGCGGCTACATTGTTCATGACAACGAGATGGCGCACTTCTTTGCTTTGCAGCGCCGAGAAGGCTTGATTCTGAAGAAAGGTAGTGGTGCTACCTCTGCAGTGACTGCTGGCACAGCAATGGACATGTTGTCTCCTGAGAAGTTCACCTTCTACTAGTTGCAAAAGCATTCGTGGGCCGCCTCCTTGTGTGTGGATGCTGTGGGAGGTTCCACGCCTCAGAAACTCACCACCTCACTTGACACTTGTGTTTGCGCCGGCCGTGGTGGCAGGCTGCTTCCCCGCACCGATGTTGCTGCTGTCCTCTACACACTGGATGGTCCCATCAATGTCATTCACGTGCAAAAGCAATGCAACCAGAGGAGCTGCAGGGCATCGTGCGCCTACAGCTATAGGCGGGAGAATGGAACTAAGGTCAACACGATCGACCTTGCAAACTTGTGCGATGGCACTCTCTTTGTGAACAGCAAGAAGGCCTTTGCTGCGAAATAAATCCAGTACCACGAAGAGTTACATTCCTTGGGCACTTGGCCTCACCGCTCCTGCAGATGCAGCTGCGCACATTGCGCAGGACTTTCGCAAGTTGCACGCTTCTTCTTTGCTCTACTACATGGCCACATGGCCATCCGTTAGTTGAAGGCGTTGAATTTACATCAGGCCATTGTGATTGATGATGAGCTCAGCGACCGACATCTTGAGCTCTACGAAGCCTTTTGTCTCAGCACCTTGTTTCCTCCATCCAACCAGCGCAAAATGACTGCGCTGGTCATTGTTGGATGGTCGTTTGTGACCCAGCCACCAGGCGCAACTTGGGCCTTGAGTCACTCGAGTCTATGCATGAGCCTGCTCTTGCCGCTCTCAGAAACATTCGTTCGCTATTTCCACGGGCAGACTGCTTGGTGTATGACAGAGCCAGAGCCTGTGCATGCAAAGCCCAGGCTTCCATGGACCAGATTCTTCTACTGCGTCGACGCATTCCACGCGCATGGACATTCCAAACAACAATGTCCTTGTAACCCTCGTCTCTCGCTGGGTCTTTGCTTAAGTCTTGTGGTTCTGTCACTAGTTCTTTTTTTTTGCGTAGCTATCGCCGCAACCTCAAGAAGCGCCTGGCCCAGCTGAACACCAACATCTGTGAACAAGTCTACTGCACGCCACCCATTCTCAACGAGATGCGACCCAATCGACACAAGTTTCGCTTGCTTACCCTCGCGCAACGCGTGAACATCCAAAGCAACCTGTTCTGTCTGATGTGGACTGAGGCCGGGGTTTGGTTGGGTGAATACGAGTTGAAGCCATCTGCAGTTTCATTTGACGTGTATATATATATAAGGATAGAAATAGATATAGTCACTCCATAGTATCCTCCAGTCGGCCTTGTCGACATCAAAGAGTTTGCGACGGTTTCTTTTTCAAGGTTGACAGCAGGGAACTTGGCCTGAAACCAGCTACTTCACTTCGAGTGATCCCCACCATGACATGTCAATCTGACACCTTTTCTTGCATGTGTTGAAACATTATTTCGACATTCTTTCTGGCACGTTCTGCTGCTTGTCAGATGTGACTGACATTCTTGCAAGACAGTGGCGCGCCACCTGTCAGGTGTCTGGTCCGGTAAAGGCAAAGGAAGAAGAGGTGTACAGGACACACAACAGAAACATGTTCTTTGACATATTGTGACATTCTATCTGGTATATATTCTAAAAATCTACTTGCCATATTGTCTGGCATGTTTGTGATTGTGTGTGTTATAGCGGTTGTGTTTGTGTTTGTGGCTATGTCTTTGTGGCTGCGCGCTGTGGATGTGCGTTGCTGAATGTATCTTTGTGGTTGTGCGTTGCGGTTCTGTGCTGTGGATGTGTCTTTGTGGGACACGGGATATATGGCTGAAGAATGTTTGAGACCTGTGACCTGTGGATTCATTCGCGCTTCGCGGCCGGAGCGTGCTGGCTCACCGCATGAGTTGCGGTAGCGCGTGTCTGAAACCGAAGCAACAATTTTTGTTCATACATACCCTCACCTTCTGCATTGTGCGTTTGCGACAACAACACTGCCTTACACAGGCGCGCGCTCCGGCAGGGGAGCGCGCACCTTGGAACATGTGGACTCGTTGCTTGCGCTGTGGGGTCGTTTCGGTCAGTTCGCTTCATGAGGGGTAGAGCCGCAAAGGTAAAGGTAGTAAAGGTCATGGGTCATGAGGCCCGTCAGAGAATCACAGACATGTTCCGCTCTTGCGCGCAATGGTTTTCAATGAAATTGTTGACCGGGGTGCGCGCGTCCGTTTGATCATGTTTGCGCTGACGAACGCATGTGGTTGTGTGTTGTGGTTGTGTGCTGATGTTGCGCGTTGTGGTTGTGTGTTGGGGTTGTGTCTTTGTGGTTGTGCGTTTGTGATTGTGTCTTTGTAGTTGTGTTTGTGCTTGTGTGTTGGTGGTTGTGTGTTGTGGTTGTGTGCGGTGGTTGTCCGTTGCGGTTGTGTGTTGTGGTTGTGCTTCGTTGTCGTGCGTTGTGGTTGTGTGTTGTGGATGTGTTTTTGCAGTTGTCTTTGCGATTGTGTGTTTGTGACTGTGTCCTTGTAGTTGTGTTTGTGGTTATGTGTTTGTGGTTGTGTGCTGTGGTTGTGCGTCGTGGTTGTGTGTTGTGGATGTTTGTTTGTGGTTGTATGTTTGGGATTGTGTCTTTGTGTAGTTGTGTTTGTGGTTACGAGTTTGTGGTTGTGTGTTGCGGTTGTGCTGTGGTTGTGCGTTGTGATTGTGTGCTGCGGGCGTGTCTTTTTTGCTGTGTGTTTGTGATTGTGACTGTGTCTTTGCAATTTTGTTTGCGTTTATGTGTTTTTGGTTGTGTGTTGTGGTTGTGTGTTGTGGGTGTGTCTTTGTGGTTGTGTGTTTGCGGATGTGTCTTTGTAGTTGTGTGTTGTGGTTGTGTGCTGCGGTTGTGCGTTGTGGTTGTGTGTTGTGGTTGTGTGCTGTTGGTATGTTTTGCGGTTGTGGGTTGGGGTTGTGTGCCGTGGGTGTGTCTTTGTGGTTGTGTGTTTGTGATTGTGTCTTTGTAGTTGTGTTTGTGGTTGTGTGAGGTGGTTGTGTCCTGTGGATGTGTCTTTGTGATTGTGTGTTGTAGTGGTTGAGGGCCGGTGGGGAACACTGCCGTCAGGAGCTGGCGGTTGAGGTCTGGCGAGGAACACTCCCGTCGCGAGCGACACTTGCGGTTGAGGAGGCGGAGGAGGAGGAGGAGGAGGAGAGGACGTGAGGCAGCTGACATAAAGATCTAACAACCCTCACGTGACAGGTGGGAAAAAGGCCTTTTTCGGAGGACCCGCTCTACGAGAGAACTGATGAGCCTATCAGCATTCCAGTGAAGGGTTTAGAATGAACACTGTAGCTTTTGAGGCCTTAACAACGAACGATTCTGTTTGACTTAGCTAGTCACTCCATGGGACTCGCACAAATACCTATATATATATATACCTATACATCGGGGTGGTGATTTGTGGTCAGTTTATACAAATATATCTATATATGAATATTTCAGTCCATTGCGTGGAGTGTTTGGGATAGATGAACTCACTGACACATGCGACAAAACATACCCAATATAGGCTGTCCTCCGCTGGTACTAGTAGCTTCAGAACCCTGCAAAGGTTCGTGCCAACATTGACCGCCTTTGTGTTTTTTCCAAGACTGGATCAGCATTATATAATTTCAAGAGCCTCTTCACATAGAAACACAGCAACTTAGGTTTTCATTTGTCACACGGAGCGGCCCAAAAGGACTCTGTTCCAAACCTGATCCGAGTGTCGGATTGCTGCGAGTTGTTTTGAGAATCGTTTTTCGACACTAAATATCCATAGCATATACATGGATAGTCCGGGCCGGTCCGGGCGGGCCGGGCCACCGCGGGCCGGGCCACTGCGGGTCGGTCCGGGCGGTCCGGGCCGGTCCACTGCGGTCCTTCCATTTGTATAGGTCCTCCACCAAACCACACCTCAAATCCACCGCCCCGGCGTGGCGTAAGGAGACCACCTGACGCAGTGGGCAAAGGAAGAACCTATGCATCAAGATGTACCCACAAACACTTTATAGAGGATGGATCGGCTGGTTTTTAAGTCTGTGCGAATAAACCCTTTTCTAATATTGTCGGTCTACGGAGCTGTACTTGGGGTTTAGTTTTGATTAAACCCTTTTTGGTCGAGTAAGGGCCCTCACTCGATCACAAAGGGTTTACATCCTGATCCAAACCCCAAACCCAAGGGTATGAATATCAATCGACCAAAAAGGGTTTAATCAAAACTAAACCCCCATTCCAGCTCCGTAGACCGACAACAGTAGAAAGGGGTTTATTCGCACAGACTAAAAACACTTTGCCGATCCCTCCTCTAACATGTTTGTGGATACATCTTGATGCATAGATTCTTCCTTTGCCCACTGCGTCAGCTGGCCTCCTGACGGCTGTGCCGGGGAAGGGAGTTCGCACGGGCCGGGCCGGGCCGGGCCGGGCCTCGGGCCGGGCCGGGGTCAACGGTAGACCCGGCTATCCATGATATATGTTGATGAAATCTACACACAGGGTGTCAATATCTATAGCATCTATGAAATTGGGATTGATGGTTGATGAAAGTGATCACTTGCACCATTCTAGACCTTGATCAAAACGGCCAGATAACAACGAACAAACCAACACATAAACAAACAATCAAATCACGTGCACCTTGTGTTTTGCGGAAGGTTTTGGTGCGCAGCACCTCCAAAGAGATCCTGCGGCGCTTCGGCACGTGGGACGCCAAGCTCCTGCAGGAGCCAGGGAGACCGGTGGAGAAGGTCAGGTGGAGACGGGTGGGACAGTGGGTGCTACAGTTTAGATGGTCGGCACAACTCGAATCATATATATTACTGAAATCATTGCAGATCAAAGCAGTTCACGTTGGTTTGAAGAGTTCAAAAGTTTTCGTCAGACTTCTGTGCAAGTGACAAGGTGAACAGTGAACATCATGTAAAGTGCCCTGCACAAGGATTGCAGAGACATCCGCATTGGTTGAGTTCACCCTGGCCGTTGGCAATTGAGATCTCCTAGGTCTGAGTTTGACACTCCGGGCTTTGCCATTCCCAGGAGGAACAGTTCTTTCGATTTCGCCAACTTCCAAACGGCTCTGCTGTTGTGCCGTGGATGGATGGAGGTTTCATGAGAGAAGTCGCCAGATTGATCGCGGTGCCTGATAGTAGTGCGCCTTCCTCCCCGCCCAGCGGAAATTGGCCTTCACAAAGCCTCGTTTTCGTGTGGTGCTAGGCAAGCGACATCACCCAAACTGCTCATTTGTTTTTGTTTTTGTTGGGATGGCTGAAATGTGAAACTGAACCCAAAGGCTTTGACCGGAGATCAGCGCATCCGAAGTACACTCCGACTTGCGGAAGGAGTCCCCAACATGGAAGTGGAATACCCGGAGTGAACACCCCTTTGCAAATCTAAGAAGGGCATCGTGCACTTAAACTCCGAAGTCGATCTGAAGATGAATGCAACTGTCAGCTTTGGCACTGCAATGCTCGCACCTTTATCACGATCGTCATCTCTCCCAAACTTCAAGCTTAAAGAAGGCATCATGCCTTCTGCAGGCACTATATCACACCGGTGACACAGTGTAGTAGAGACATTGACTCTATCTTCAAATTCTTCCATCAATTCTGGAATCCAATATGGAGTCGTGACACCACATGCGAAGAGATCTCGGAACTCCCCTGGACGTCTCAAATACATGCCTTGACAGATCAGATTTCAAAATGCCCACCCTTACCTATTCAGACTTATAACTTATAACCCTAAGAAGCTGATGCAGTCTTGCAAGATCTAAAACCATAAAAAAGCACATGGCTGTGATGGGTTTGCCGAGGAACTTCAACTGCCGTATGAGTGCATTCGAGATCTCAATACCATTCTTGTGGACTTATGGAAAGGTTCTTGAAGGAAGGAGGAAAAAGGAAAGAGTCAAGGAATGAAGAAGGGAGCCGTCCATTTGCTTCTCAAAACTTGCCCAAAGGTCTTCCAACCTTGATTGATGAAAGCACGCACCGTACTTCTGCCCCTTCAGTTCCCCCTCACCGCAGACCATGCAAGAAAACGGACGCCCTATCACCAGGATATATTGCCCGCATCACATCAAAATTCAAGTTAAATGCTAATTAAACTTAATTATATATATATATATGTTTTTATTTATTGTGTCTCATAGCTTCTTGTTCCTAGTAGTACGGCCAGGAGCCCCGTTCGTAGCATCCGATCGCTCCTAGCCCCCTATCAGATCTTCAAAGCCGCAAAGGTCAAAGGGCGGTCCTCCGCCTGACTCGAAATAGGAAGACATGTCTTCGCCCTTGTTGCGCATCAGGACACTCATATGTCCAACCAGCCGTGTTGTTTCACATGTTTCACACGCTTTTAAAGCTTTTCACATGCTACCACGAACAAAACAATAAAACGTGCAATGATTCGACTGGGCATTCCTTCTACAGCCCTCGACATGTGGTTCAGTAGTCTACGAAAGCTGTCCAGAGTTTTCGAGTTTAACCAGCGTCCAGAAATCCTATTGACAACAGGGCTACGGGCCAAGCTCAATAGACTTGTTTCATGGTTCTATCAAAAAGCGCATTCCGCAATCGACAGATAAGGCCCATAAAGTCCAGATGCCAGTGGTTTTTCTTTTTTATTTCGGTGTTGAAGCTTTTCCACTCAGCGAAACACATTTCCAGGATTACGCAGAGCTGCAACTGAAGCTATCATAGGCCACCATCCACAAGCCTCCTCATACCTAGTCATGCAATTTGCTCATAATCTCTGCAGGACCCTGCTTTTTACCGTGCTTATCCAATCCTGCCGCGTAATTCGCCGGCTTGCTCATTATTATGATCAAGAATCAGCCCGATTCTCTTCCAGAAAGCTATCCAATATAGGGGGAATTCCATGGTCCGGCAGCATTTTTTTGTTTCTATGCAGACAAATTTAATTTTGCCATTACTTCTCCTGCCATTGTTAAAAGTTCCAATGGGCTGTACCTTGATCTACTCACAGACAGTTGTGGCATCATTTAAAACCTTCCATTCTTCTACTGTACACACCTCTTAACAATCACACCATCCAGAAAAGGAATCGCTGATCGTCCAATCGATCGGGACGTGTTTTTCGCCATCAAAACAAGCCTCAACTGGAGGAACATTCGGTCCGTCTTCTTGGATGTAGTGGGAGGTTATCAAACCAATGCAGGCAAGTCGTTATGGGATGCCACCATTTCTCCATTTATGCTCCTGCTGTGGTAAACCAGCACGCATACTCACGAGAAGTTGCAATGCACTCGTACTCATGACGCATGATTACGTCACATACAAGCAGTCAACTTTTTAGCAGCCAATCCGGAAATGCTCTACCTTGTACTTGTTCTGCCGTGTATGCCCCAAAACTACCAACAACTCTTAAATCACGTGCCCGCACGTGGAATCCAGACCTATGTGAAGTAGCAAACGTGGTATATCTCTTCGATAGTTCGTGTGATACACCCAGAGTTCCATACTGCAGCTTCGTGCAGCTTCGTCAGTTTAGTTTGCATCAATCCGCACAGTGATACAAAATCGGTCTTCACGAAGTGACACAGTGACACAGTTGGGTCATGCCCACAGTTGGAACAATCCATTATTAGCGAGCCGAGCTTGAAGCAGTGGTTTGTTTGATCATATGTGTGGCACTGCGTATGTCATCAATATAATTCAGGATTTGATTGCTCACCATTTATAACTGCAAACCTTAAACTGTTTCGTGTGGCCCACCCTGACTTGTCACAAGAGGTGACCTCCACAAAATCTCCTCTCACCAAGATTTGCTACTGCAGCAACTCGTGTGAAGAGTTGCGACACATGATAGGGAATTATGCAGCAGCAGACTTACTTAGTTGCTAAACGATCAAGGGAAAAGGATTGCGTTTTATGTCGCCAAATGTATTATGACCAAGCTCTCCAAGACTTAAAACATAGAGTTTAACAAAATTAAGGATGTCTAAGCTTTGCTTCGAGACGTTAACACACATGTTCCTTTTTTTTTGAATAATAATAAGGAGCAAGAGACTCCCGGTCTCAAACAATCCAATACCAGGGTGGCAGACCACTCTCCAAACATCAATCTTGTCACATGGACTTGCCTTCCACCCTTCTTTCCTAACCATGCAAGTCCGTTGCACCCGGCGTTGACAAGTGGCCAGATCCACACCAAGCCGCAATGCCCAACGATCCTGGCATCACATGGGCTGAACTAGCCACCTCTTTCACCATAGCTTCAGGTTTACAATTACCAAGTACCAGGATGACGTGTCCGGACCTATCCCCTTTGACTCACCTAAAGCTTTACTTTATTCCGAATATCATAAATCCGTGCTGCGTCAAGCCTTTGCATTCCGCCATATTGTCCAATTTCTCGCTAACATTCACAAACGACCTTACTGTAATTCCGAGTTTTCCCCAGACAAACGCAATGAGCTTGCTTCAGATGGGCTTTCAAAATGCGTTGGCGGTATTTCTCGTCGGCCGATTATACCTAATGCTGCCAAAGTGCAATTTGTTTGAAGCATATGCCGCTTTGAAATGCAAATCCAATTCAACAACACCTTTCCTCTCCTCATTTCTCTTTAGCAGAGGGGTCCTTTTCGACAACCAGGACATTTCAAACCAAAGTCCGCAAAATAGTTTTCGCACGTCGCACACAAACCCTTGGACACCTTGCTTCCAGAGTGCATGTGGCCGCCTTAGATGCCTTCGTTTTAAATTAGATGCATGTTCTGTTTACCTCGTCTTATTCACACTCAGGTTGAAAAGCTTTCTGGTGTGAAGTTGTAGATGTACCATGATATACCATTGTTTTACTCTCATTTTCTGTTACCTACCTGTGATGCCTGCAGGATGTCCATCACCGACATCCCCCAAACCCTTGCATCGGACAGATGACCTCGTGACAGAATTCTTTTGTGCTTTTGGGGTTCCTTCCACAGTCACCAGCATTCAAAAGAGCCCCCTATAGAAGTGACTTTTACGATGGAAAGGAAAAAGAGGAGGGGAACGAGAAGAGATGCCACATCAACATCCTTGACACCCAACGAATCAAACAAAGACCACTGCTCTCCAGGTGGTTTTTTAGGTCTCTTCCCCCAACGTTCCCAAAGACAACTGGCTGAGGACTGCGGCAATGAGTTCAAAGATTTCACGGATCCGGACTGCTTGCAGGCGGTATCGCGCCGGCTTCAGCGCACTCGGTCTAACGCCGGTGTTGGGAGCGCACTTGAGAGAGCCCAGTTGAACATCCATCTCAGCAAGGCTCGGTTAGGCTCAATTTGGAAGGCACGGGCTTTGTGGGATCGAAGTGGACACTGGTGACACCAGTAGTGGATTGTTTTTTTTGAAAAAATTGAGATGATTCTAGTTTTAGTGCCAGGAATCAGCTCTCAGTCTATGCAGTCAGTACTTTTGCTTTGGAACTGGCAAACATTCTGGGCATTTCTGGGCCTTCCTCACAATGTGTCTGGTTTTTGTGTCCAAAAATGCTCGTCCACGCAATGCAATGAACCAAACATCACAAAACCATGTGCCGTGGACCGCGAAAACGAAGCCCCTCGAGCTTCACAGGTGGGCACCATGTCCGTCGAGCTCGATGAGGTGCGTCTTTTGTTTTGTTATATATTTTTTGCAGAAGCTAGGACGCTACTCGTACTAGGAGCAAAGGGCATCACTATGAACGGAGCAAGGACGCTACGAACGTAGCTCTCGTTATGAGAACCAACTGCGTCGCGTCGTCTGGGAGCTCACCCGCTTTGGGAACCCCAAACATCGGCGGCAGACCTGATCCGGTGTGGACCTGAGATCCGATGAGGTCACCGGACTGGTGTTTTGGGGGGTAATGAGACTCCAAAGAAATCACATGAACTCCAAAGGTGGCTGGATGATATTTGATGTTCGCGCGTTTGTGTCCAGTATTGTATAGTAATTGTGTATTTTGTATTGTATGTGTATGTGTTCAGTTTATTTCAGCTTCGTTCACATGTTAATTGGCCAAAGGTGAATCTGCCCATCAAGGGATTAAGGGGTCCACACCACAGCACAATGGAAGGGTCCAGTACGTAATGTGCAGAAACTGAACACCTTTAACTTTGCTTCTACTCGTAGTGTTTACCCTCCGACTCATGTTCCATGGAAGTGGATGGCATGGCCGGCCTAGGATCAACGATTTTCCTCTGCGAACCGTGTGGCCGTGTGGCCCTCACGATTGTACGTGAGGGCCAGCGATGTAGCTCGCACGATCGGAAAGGTAAAAATTCCTCATGGGCGCCCGCGACAGAACGCGACCGAACACGACCGAGCAAATCTGGTGGAGGCGAACCGTTGGATGGTGATCATCGTCAGCCCGTCCGTGGCCTTCTTTTCCATGGCCAAGCACATCGAAGGGAAAGTCAGTGAGGAATTGGAGGCACCGGAAGTCAGTGAAGGGGTCCGACGGGTCCCGGAGTGGAACAGTCCGGATGCATACCACCCCCCCAAAAAAGGTGGGCGTAAACGGGGTCGTTTTGGCGTGATGATTCATCATGTGCTGCCCCGCTGTAGCGGGTCACCGTGCTGTTTGCACCGAGCGGTGACCAAAAGGCCGAGGGTTCTTATTCGAAGTGCCCTGGAGTGAGGCAAACCGGAGGCGTATGCAGAGGGCGGCGTTTGTTGACTGGTCGTCTTGGGAGTGGAGAGGAAAGCAATGCCTGACGATGGGAGCTGAGAGTTGAGCAGGTGGGAGTGAAGAAGGAGATTTCGCTCTGGGATTGTGACATCATTGGAAGGTCCAAGCTTACAGGAACAGTTTGAGAGTCCAGACTTTCTGGAAGCTCTCAGAGTTTTTGGATTTATTATGATCTATTTAGTGGTCTGGTTTTTGAATCAAGCGACAGGCCATCGACTCCAACATCGATATGATGGCAGTGGACTCAGACGATCGTCCTTCTCGTCATGCCCTCACAAGATACAAAGAAACACACTCTTTTGACCAGTTCAGTGACAGTAAACGTTTTCCAAAAGATTACAATTTCTTTCAATGACCGCTGACTTGCTGGCTTGGGTCTTTGGGAAGTTATATAGTGAGATCACTGCTGATCCTTCCTTAGGAGGACCGCTCAGGAGATACATTCACACGTGTATGAAGCCATGTTATTTCAGAGGTCCGCTAGCACAACCCCCTACATGTCTTTTAGATGGGGGTCCATATAAACCACCTTTTGGTTGCCTCTGAAACCACTGTACTTGCTGTTTGAAGACGGTTCTGGTCCTTTGTGATTCTGTGTCCGTGCTTTGCGCTCAAGCTATGCGGTACCTTTGCGGTGCGGTGCATTGAACGCCAGCATTTCAAACCTGGTGAACAAAACCAACGGCAACTGCAGACTGAGCATGAGCACAGTCTGACCACCGAGCTGTGCTTTTGACGAATTTTGCTCGTCCTCCCAAATCAGAAAAGCTGTGAGAACCATTGAGAACCATTGAGAACCCACCTTTGCAACAAGCCTCCCGTCCCACAAAAACTGATTGCCCATGGCCTCTTTTTGTTCCCGCATATTCCCTCCTATTCCAACTCCTCAATTCCTGGACTCCCAACCGGAATCCTCGAGTCCACGATCCATCCACGAGCGGAATCCTGCTGAGGGCATGACGATCCTCCAAACTGCGGCCATAGCATTCTTGGTGACCACCGTCATAACGGTTGGCATTGGCTTTGGCCTGGGCACAGCGGTCCCCGAGCTGAGCACTGGAAGCGTTCCGATGAACGGCATGCACGGAGGAACTAGGGTGCAGTTGAGAGCATTGAAATTAGTGGATGATAAACTTGCAGGTGGAGTTCTTGTTCGTGTTGGTAAAGATCATGCTGGTGGAAGTTACAACATGAATCATGAATGGTAAAGATCATCAATCAGCCGGTTCGACCCTTTAACCCTTTCACTTGGGGGGGCTTCTTTGAACGAAGCTCATGAAGGGGTTGAGGAATCCGTGGAAACCTGTGTGGGCCGGCGCTGGCTGTGTGGAAACCAATGTGTTTTCTTGATTGTATTTGGATAGATTCCAATCTGGCATGGTATGTCCGGATGTTGTACTATTTGTCGTGAGATGAAGGTGAACAGCAGATGCGCTCCCTGGAACCAAAATGGAGAATGGCCCCTTGGAACACCATGTTCCTTTACAAACAGGTTTTTCCCTTCCATGTTAGTTCCAAAGAGAGTACCTGAAAGGGTTTGATTCGGGTTTTGACCTGCGAGGTATGACCCATCAAATGGCTGGCATGAGGTCCATGGGTAGCGTAGCGTTGTTAAAGATGGCACTGATGCCATATGATGCCAACAATCTAGAATAAGGCCTGCAAGATGGAGCAAAGCAGGCCATCTATTTTGGCTGGCTATTCTGGAAGCCATACACACCAGAAGTCTTGCTATCCTGGACCCTTCAGAAGGCCTTGCACGCGGTCAGTATATATATATACATTATATATATATAACAGGTATAGAGTTCTAATTAATACAACAGATCACAGATTGCCGTAAGTCAATTGATTCGCTGGAAATGCAATATCATAGGGAAATGAACAGAAACAACAAAACATCCAACACTGTGCAAGACAATGTAATCACATGAAAGTTGAAATATGTTTGCTAAAATGATAGAGAGGGGGGCATAAAAGGGAAAGGAGAACAGCGGAAGGAATTAAAGAGAAAGAGGCAAAGGAAGAAAGCAAAGGAAAGCAAACATGAGAGGAATGAAAATAGAGAAACCCGTCATGACATGAAATTGCCTTTGAACTACATGCAACCAAAAAACGGCAGGTTTGTGACCGGAGCGAACCATGTCGTTTAAACGATGTAAATTGCCATGATTATATTGGTATTGCATTTGGTTGGGGTGTGTGTGTGTGTCGTGTTTGTTTGCATTGTTGCACACTTGGTTTTATTTGCACATATATATATACACAATTGCGTGTCTCAGCCTTTTAACTTGATTTGGTTACTTTTTGTCAGCTCAAACTTGCTCAGACTCAAACGTCAGTTGTTTGCAGTTTGTTGTATTCGTTGCAGTGTTTCCCCAAAGATGTTGCTGCATTGTGGTGAATTTGTGTATTACACTTCGTGGTATTGATGACGCCGGCAATTGTCAAGCGTAAGCCTGTCAAGTGTATTGTAGGCTGGCCAATTTGCTTGCACCATGCATTTCTTCAGAGCTTTCATGCGCATGTGTTTTTTCTTTAATCACTGTATGTAATTCCACATTGCTTGCCAGTACCCAGTCAAATGATGTCAAATGGTTTTTGTCCTTAATTGTCGGTTGTGTCGATTTGAGAAAGTGTTCTAAATTACTATCATCGTATTAATTTTATGAATAAAACACACTGAAACAGCAAAAACATGCAATAATATTTGAACAAACGTGAGAGCATACAAAACATGCAGATAGACAGAATACAGTTGTGAGGATCCCGAATCGATATCCATTTGATCCAAATACCAGCTGTTCCAACTTGTAATGTACGACTCATGAAGCTAACATGGCTTTCATGCCCCAAAAAGACTCATACACGAAGCTGCACCGGGATGTCCAGGTTTCCTCACCGATGAAAGAGCTCGAATATATGCTGCGGCGCCTGGCGCACTTCGACTTTGAAAAGGACGAGAGCTGGTTGGAGGCTGTCGATGTCGATGTTTAGTTGATTCGATGTCGATGTCGATGTCTTCTGGTCCGAGATGTTTTTGGGCGGTTTTGGGCAGCGTGACATCATGTGACCAAAGATCAGAGATTTGGTGTTCCATGGGTGCCGACCGGGTATTTCCGCATGAAGAAACGACTTCAGACGACTTCTGCACTTCTTTGCTTTTCAGAAACCTTTAGTGAATTACAGAGCAAACGTAACTATTTCAATGAGTGGCACCTCTATGCAAGGTGCTCTGGGCTCGTTTTTTGACCACCCAACTGAACATGATCGCTTGGCGCATGGGGGTGTTCCTGTTGACGAACCTTCCCGGATCATCCAATGTAGGCAGATCATCCATATCATCCTGTTTGCGTTCTCATCTATGGATCATCCATATCATCCATTTCGTGTGCTCTCGAAGGTATGGAATGCAGTCTAGCCAGGACACCCAGAATGGATGATCCAGGTATTTCAAGGCTTCAAGTGCCTGCCTGGTCCCTGCCTGGTCCGTCCCGGCTCATTCAGCCAGACTGAACCGACCAGCAGCATTCGTGAGATTTGTGAACTGCAGGATGCGCCCCTCGGAACATTCGTGGTGCACACGACGTCACACGACGTCACGCTGGTATCAAGGTGAGACGTCACATGACGTCATCCAGTGAAAGCACATGAAACCGCATGAAAGCACATGTCGTAAATGCTGTAGTAGCGATGGCCTCCAACCTACTGTAGCGATGGCCTCCAACCTAATAGTAATGGCCTCCAACGTAAAAGCGATGGCCTCCAACCTACTAGCGATTGCCTCCAGCCTATATATTGCTATACACGGATTAAGAATGCATCAATATTTATTGTGAATCTGAGATTCGCCCGAGTCGATCGCAGAGCGTCGCGTCCCAGATCTGTGCTAGTCAAAGTCAGGGATTTTGAGGATGAAGTGATTCTGGGAAAGGATGTGCTTCCTGAAAAGCAAAGTTCCCAATGAAAACAGGATGAACAGTCGGTCGGCCAATAGCAATGACCAATGTGGGTGGCCATTGACCATGGATTTTTGCTCAATGGTTTTGAAGTAGCCAAGGTTTTGCCGTCTTGCAGTGGGCATCAAAACCTTTGCACGCTTTGTGCCAGAAGCCGTCGTGCGGAATCTCATCAAAGGCAGGGACAGGGGATGACAGGGGCCAGAGGTTCTGTTCCACACATGTGGAAACAAACCCCATTTGAGAGATGCTTGGGAGCTTTCCTGAGATGTTTTTGGCAGTTAACATGTGGTGTGAAGCTACGCCGGCGACGCCTCCACCTCCCAGGTGATCCCCGCGCCGCCAGGCGAGAGGGTTTTCCTTTTTGAGTGTCCTTCCTTTAACATCCTTTAACATGAGGCACTTGAGGATCTTGAGGCAGTTTCGAACTGTAGCAGGAGTTGTTTTTAAGAGACGACGTTTCTTGAATGTTGCACGAAACTGCCTTTTTGGGATAATTTCATGTCGATCATGTCGTAATATCAAGTTGATGATAGATGTGATGCTTTCAAGTGTTCCATGAGATGTCAAGGAATTATCCACTCTGTGCCTAAACAGCGACCCCCGGTCACATGACCCACCTGACCCAGACAAGGTCAAAGCTGATGACTTTTCAGCTTGAGGGGCCCGCGCTATCGTTGCTTTTGCTGTACTTGACCAGAAGACGTGTAGAAAATCACAGGATAGCAAGCGTTCGGGTGTACCCTACGGATGATTCTCGGCACACAAATCATGTCCAGTCGTTTTGCCCACGGTTGTTGGTCGTTCACTTGGCCCCAGACCAGGTTGTATGTCGTTCGGAGAGACGCTAAGCTGCAGTCTGGAGACCGGTGTGTCAACGTCGAAGACACAGCTGGAACTGAATTCTGTGAATCCTGAAAAGCTTTGACTGGTCACCTAATTGCATATGCCCTAAGCTTTTAAAGAGAAGAAGAGTACTTTCCAGAAAGTATGTTTATTGCAAACAACGACCCATTTCTTGCATGCGATTCCTTGCCTCCACCCAGCTCAAGAATCGTGGACAAACCGTAGAAGGAATGATGTTTTTTGGCGTAAAACATATGATAAAATATGTTTTTGCTGTGGAAGAAGCGTTTACATTTCTTCCGACATGCCAGGTGAGGGTTGTTAGATTTTATCAGAGCTCTTCTCCTCTCCTGCTCCTCCTCCTCCTCCTCCTCCTCGCAAGCAAAGGTACAGCAAGTGGCAGATCGCAGTGGGCACTACCGGACCTCAACTGCAAGTGCCAGATCGCAGTGGGCACTGCCGGACCTCGACTCAACTGCAAGTACGAGATCGCAGTGGGCACTGCGAGGAGGATGGGTAAGTTATAACGTTGGTTATCGAACATAGGGTTCTAACATGGCTCTAACTTAGTTACCATAGCGATTACATAGGGGCGTAACTTCGCCAACCTTTTTTGTGAAGATAGAGCACTTATATCCATAGGTCGGTAGTTAAGATACATAGTGGGTGCATGGGCCTTTTTATGTAACCTTTCTGTTGGGAGCACCCTGACATGTTCGAACTATAGACAAATCCCTCTGGAATCTACTTAACTTTAAGCATCTTGGAACTACGTATATATAAAGTCATGAAAAATACAATCGAGGATTGGATCAGGGAGGACTAGATCATATAGAGTTTTGTTCATGGGTCCTGTGTAAGGAAAAGGACTTTAAAGCGATCAACTATGCATAAAATGCTGAAAAAGTACTTCGCGTGCAAAAACATGCAAAACATGAAGGCACATCGCGGCACATCCACGAGTACAAATTCAAATACAGCTGGACAAGAGATGAGTCACAAAAGTGCACCAGATCAGGTGGCTGAACAAATTAACCGCACCATCCCCAAACAAAGCACAAACATGGATCGTCATATGTCCTGAGAAAATCTACAGGAAGTGCTGGCTCGCCATTGGTTTTGGTAGAGTCACATTTCAAAACTGTATTGTGCAAACGGTGCCGTTTAGTGTGTCAAATCAACTTTGTTTGCAACACCTGCAGCCAGACCTTGTGTTGGCTTCACTGCATGAAACCTTGCCTAAATACAGTATCTAGATTTTATTACCTGACAGTGTCAGTCATGCGGTGTCATTCGCTGTCACACTCTCAGCCGTTGTCACCCGCTGTTCCTCCCACCAACCGTCGCAAACCATTTTGTGCCATTTGCCATTCGATTTAAATCCAAAGCAGCAGCTCTGACCGCATTTGCCATGGACTGCACGGGCAACCATATCCAGGTTGTAAAAAATTGGTTGTATCATACAACGTTATAACGAACCAAGTTCATTTGGGTTTCCCACAGAGTGTAGCAAGTCATTCGCGAGTTGAGAAGGAGCAGCGAAGCTGGAACCCAAAGAATCCTCCTCAATGCCTTCAACGCAGCAGGGTGCTGCAGAACCATGCTCTCTCAGACAGCAACTCTGATCCTTCATTTACCAAATCAAGACAGCGATGCCTACCAGTCAATCTTTGCCATGTCATGCCACCTCCCTGGTCAACTTTTGCAATTACTTCTCCAAGCCTACAGCTTCCAAGCAACATCCCTCACCCAGGTCAAAGCCACTTGAACGGCCAACCCTTTTGAAGAAGCCCGTGCCCTTGCACTGACGCCTTAGCAAACACTTTAAATCAAACCAAACGCCAACAAAATTCAGAAGCTTCATGTCAAGGGGACTTCAGGTCAAATGAACTGCATGTCCATGGTTTGAAAACACATGGCATAGATATTGAATGGACCTGACTTGAAATGAATTGTAAGTCGGTTCACAACAGCAAACAGCAAAAGCATGTCAGCAGCAAGCCTCGCATGAAGATCAATGAGGTCATCCGTTGTGTCCATGGCCATGATCTGGAGGGAAACAGTAGTCATTAATTCATTGAGCAAAATCTAATATGGCAGACAAGTATCTTGTGAACCTCGCGCTGCACCGCCGTGAAATTCCACGCGTTGGGTCGCTCAATTCAAATCGCCGCCTTGGATCCACAATTCTTGTCGTTGGATGGAAAACGGCCGTTTTCGGTCCGTTTGTTTTTCTTTCACCTTCTGAATAAAGCCTTTGAACCCTTGATCCCAACCTTGACCTTGATGCATCCGGTCCCACAGTCTTTGAACTCTTCATCCCAACGACTTTGAACCCCTCATCCCACGTCTTTGAGCAATGAACCCTTCATGATAAAATCCTAACTCATACTTTGCAAAATTTGAGTGGCGGTCCACTCATTCAAGATCAAACAAGCACAAAACAACACATCCTGAACACATTTGTAATACATGTTTGTAGCTAACACACCAGAACTCATATCTAACACATGTGTGTTAAGAATGTGTTCGAAATGTGTTCGGCTTTGGTCCAAGCAGTAAAGACCGCGGTGCCTTTCAAAACCCTACTTGGGATGAAGGTTTCAGTTTCTTTGGGATGAAGAAGGGGTTTAAAAGCTTTGCTCATGGACTTGGGATGGAGGGTTCAAAGACTTGTGATGAAGAGTTCAAAAGACTTATGGAAGAAGCAGGGGTCCAGAACTTTGCTCAAAGACTTGGGGTGAGGGTTTCAAAGTCGCTGGGATGAAGAGTTCAAAGACTTGTGGATGAAGGGTTCAAAGAAGGGTTCAAACATGTTGTTCAAATGCTTGGGACGAAGGGTTCCAAGTAATTAGTTGGGATGAAGGGTTAAATAATTTATGGTAGTTCAGGTTTCGGATGAACTTTGCTAACTTGCCTAGCTGTTTTTCATATCTAGAGCTAACTTACTTATAAGTTAAGTAAAAAATGTAACTTAGTTACAACTAAGTTGCAAGTTCGCCTAGCAGATAGTGAACTTAGGTCATGTTAAAGTAAGTTTTAACCTTGTTACACTATGCTATAGCCTATGTTACACTATGCTTTAAGTGGGGATAACTTGGCGGTAGAACACTGCATCGGACCTCAGCCGCCAGTGCCGGACCTCAGCCGCAAGCGCCAGATTGCAGTGGGCACTGCCGGACGTCAACCGCAAGTGCCAGATCGCAGTGGGCACTACCGGACCTCAGCCGCAAGTGCCGGATCGCCGTGGGCAGACAATGGCAACGCCCCATGAACTCCTCAACACTAAAATAGCAATCCTAAACCCCCACAAACAAAATCTAAAACCACAAACTCACGACCATGGCTACATGCCCCTCACCATGGCGTGAAACAACTGATTGAAATGTCATGCACGGTGGGGATCACTCGAAGTAAAGTATTGTTCCGTATTATTCAGAACTTGGCCTCACAAAACAACACGCATGGCTACATGCTCCGCATGAAAGCAACTGATGGAAATGTCGTGGCGTGAACCACTCGAAGTAAAGTCTTTTCCGCATATAGAATCATATAGAACTTGGCCTCGCAAAACAACATGCATGTAAACAAAACCCGGTCACGCGTGAGGGCAAGTGGATTTCACATGGCTTCACTCAATAGACCTGTGGTTCACCAAACACAAAAACATGATGGTCCTGCAACAACGCACTTTCAAACACCCTTTGGAGCATTGGGTAGGACTTGCTGTTCCTAACTATAAGTTCTTAACAAAAGTCATGTACTCCAAGGTTCGTGAATTCAGCTCTTCGAAGAAGGACATATCCATCCAGTTTTTGTTTTGTAGTTCGCTTGCGCGAACCTCAGGTTGTGACCATTATGTTCTCTGACATCAAGGACAGTGGGTCTTCTGTTTTGCCGTTTTTCTTTGTCGAAGAGGTTGAAGCTAGGGAGTGATGGTAAGAATGTCATTGTGACATTGGAGGGTGTGGACAAGCTACAATTCGCAGACCTTCAAGTCAAAGGGAGGATTATGATGATCTTGTCGTGGATGAAATCCGGGTCATAGGAACTGCTATATAATATACATGTGTTGCATCAAATTATTTGTGAAGTTAACGAGCTGAAACCTCATGACCGTGTTCACACCCGGACGCATGTCGGTTCGAAACCTCTCGCGCTGCCAGCTGGCCACCTGAGCCACTTCGCCCTTTCAAACCATGAGCGGCCGCTGCTTCCACGTTTTTGCAGGGCATGGTAGCGCGGAGCCTTCGCGCATCGCTTCGATGGAGGGCCCTGGGTCCTGGTCACCCGGCCCCTTCACACTTATACAGACTGTGGAGTTTGATGATGCGGCGGAGTTTATATGGTACAACTCTGATATGGTGACGAGGTCCCTGACATGTCCCACGGCATGAACGCGCAGAATGGCTGGACAATAGAGTGCAACTGGCAGCTCGGATGACACCATGCCAGGCCTGACGCCCATGGAACCAGCTGAATGTTGGCTGCGCCGATCATGCCCCAAACTTGCCGACGAACACGGGTTGGATTTGCTATGTCGGCAGCAAGGCCTCCATATACATACAGCATGATGAGCTGGGCATTCATGCCCGACACTGCGCAGCAGACACCTCCAGGTCCTCGGATGACCCGTGCCTGGTGGAAACGAGCCATACATCCCGGTCGAGTCGGTCGAGCCCTTATACATCCCGGAAGAGGCCTTTACCCAGCATGGCAATCCAGGACCACCACCTTCAGACTGCGCCGATGATGCAGACCACCTCTTCACAAACAGTTCGTCGAAGACTCCTTCGAAGGACCCGCAACGAGCAGGAGCTGTCACAGCGGCAGTCGGGTCAAACTGTTGCCTTTTGGCGCTGGCAAGGACGCTCAAGACAGCATAAGAAAGGCAGCTGGTCACTTGGTCGCTTCTTGGCCTTTGACTCTGACCAGAAGTCCTGCTGGACCGCTGGATCCAGTTGGCAAGACATCGGCAACAACCAGATTCGCTTCTGCTGGTATGTTGCAACATGGTGAGTCAACGTGCACCATGATGCGTTGTTTACTTGGTTTCGCTATTGGTTTCTCTCTTGTTGCTGTTCAGTGGTAGTGACGGTCTGTTTAATGTGTTGAGGTGCTGATTGAGGAGTTGCCTCTGGAATTGCTTGTGGGATTGTTGCTAAATCCAGTGGCTGTTCTCCGTTTGCTGGTGCTATAGTTCATGAAGTCTTGGCTCTTGAGTGGGCCGGAAGTCGAGGGTCCCTTCATCTAGACCTTGGCTCGAGGGCCGTGCGCGGCTGTCGTCCCCCAGAGGATTTGATCACACTCCACAACGACCACTTTAGTGCATTGTGACGGCAGCCTTTGCTATCAGGCCCACATCAACAGCAATCGGCAATCAACGAAAGATCGAAATGGCAGGCATCCCAGCCCAGATCCAACTCGACCAGACCATGGGCGAGGAAGTCATCGTCGCCTATAATGTGTTAAGGGCGGTGTGAACGAGCGGGATGGATGGATGAGTTGGGCCGGAGTTCGGTCATTGGACGACAACGAAGCAGCTGCGTCCGCCGTTCAGGGGACGCATCATGAAATCCAGAGCTGCCCACAGAGACAAAGCAAGAGGTGTTCCTCCACTTCGTGCCAAAAACCCGCGGGGCGGTGATCATTGGATGTGGCGACCCTGACGTCTGCCAGTTGACCCGTGACCCGTGACTCACCTACACCAATGCAGCTGAGCAAGTTCATCGCCCTCTCCATTGCAGCTTCAGGCGCCAACGGAGAGTTCAACAGCGATGGACAGAAGTGGACCCTGTGGATCTCAGATGTTGAAAAGACCTTCCTTCAAGGCCAACAGCACAAGTCTGAACGCAGTGGGCAAAACAGAATATATATATATATTCTACATCAGCCCCTTGTATGAGATCACTGACAACTGTTACGGCCTGTGCAATGCACCCGCGACTTGGTACTTCAAAGTCGACAATGATGACCCCCTGTCTGCCTCCTTCACTTGCCACAGCCTTGAACGAGCAACAGCAGCTGGACTGTGCCCCGATCGTCCACGTGGATGACTTTCTGCCGAGCAGAAAACATCATCAAAGACCTCTTCAAGTGGGGCTTGATCACAAAAGTGACAACCACCACTGCCGGCGAATATATCAGCTTGGAAGAGAAGACGTCGCTTCTCCTATTGCACCTCATCACCCAGAAAGCCTTCACCGCTCCATGGACGAGGGGGCAATTCATGCCAAAAAGGCCAACTCCAAGGGCCGCCTGCATTGAGTGTGAAAGAAATGAGGGGCTTCAGAAGCCGCACCGGAAGCCTTCAGTGGCTGAAAGGGAGCAAAACGACGATCAACTGTCTACTACGCCGCCGACGAGGCGGCTGACAGAGCCTCTTTTTGTAACTACTTCTGCGCGGGCGGAGCCCTTTTACCAGATCCCAGCCTTCAAGGGTGTCGCCAAGTTCGAGATGAAGCAGGCGACCGATCCTATAGGACCTCGCCGAGAACCCGGCTCCGCTGGAAAAGAGAAGCATGGTGGCAGTGCGGAGTGCGCAGCAAATGATGCCACCGCAAGCCATCTGGCTAATCCGGCATGCACGCCGACGGGCTGACCAAGCTCGACATGAAGCTGCAGCAGACGTGGCAGCTTTGTGAATGGCTCCATCGTGCCAACTTTGAGACGAAGGCAGCAAGGAGACCATGAAGAGCGTGCATCCGGGACAAACCAAAGACCAGTGTGAAGTTTTCAGAGCTGAAACCTCAGGAACGCGTTTACACCCGAACGCATGTCGGTTTGAAACCTCTCGCGCTGCCAGCTGGCCACCTGGGCCACTTCGCCCTTTCAAAACATGAGTGGCCGCTGCTTCCACGTTTTTTGTCAGGCCTTTGAACTTGTTAGATCCAGGGTGCTTCGAGCTCGCAGTACTGTGAGATTTTTCAATTCTTTGCAGCATCCCCCAACAGTAAAGTCTTGGAGTCCAGTATACCATTTGTCAAGATTTGTCATGTGTATAGGCGCACTGTTTGCTAGTTGAAACTACCGTAGCGCGTGTGGTCCAAAAGATCCGCTCACCTTGACATGGTAGCGGAGCACTGACGATCCTGGGGCAAAGCCCCCAGGGGAGGTGCATCTAGGTCGGCCGATCCCGGGGGCGGATGGCATGGTTGGTTTTCTGGAGCTGCTTCTGCCTCAGTGAAGTTTTCCTGTTGAGCGTGTTTTGCCACACGGAGGATTTTCAGGTGTTGGTTGATGGATGGTATGATTCGTGGTATTGGGTGCAGTGGCAATTCATTGATTTCTTTTTGTCGGTTGAGATTTGGTGCATTGGAACAGCGTTGTTCAGTTTGGAGTGGACAAAAGCATTGCTTTGTGGAGCCCAATGGAGACATTGCACGCAGGTTGTTTTGACGTTGTCGCAACTAGAGCATTGTCAGTACATTTGCGCATTCATTGGAGTTGCTTGTTTAGCTGCTTTGAAAATCTGCGGAACCAGAACGCGCTTGGGCCTAAGAGGCAAGAGAAAGGTGATCCATCAGGTCAAGAAGAGGTGGAACGGCAAGTTGAGGAAAAGCCGAATGTTGACAAGGTTGCAATCCAAAGGTTTTGCATTTCTCTTGCTAGTTCATTTGAGCTACGGGGTACAAGCTATGGACGCTCAACAGTTCCAGCAGTTCATGACAGGTGTTGGTGGTATCTTGCAAAGACAAGGTCAGGTGTTGGAAGGAGTTTCGCAGGCAATTGCTTCAACTACAGGTTCAGCATCGGCCTCAGTGGCTAAATCCTTGGAGTCTGCATCGAAGATCCTCAAGACACCAGAGCAGTTCGATTCAAGTGACAGTTTAAGTTGGGTAAGTTGGAGGCACAGTTTCTTGAACTGGTTGTCGTACGCGGATGGACGGTTCTTGGAATCGATCGAACAGATCGAAAAGCTAACTCCGGCTGACAGCATTGAGACAGTTGATTGGGGCCAACAAGAGTGGGACCTTGCAAGGAAATTGTACGCCATCCTCACATCCTACCTCAAAGGATCAGCATTGCAGTTGAGCAGGTCAGGATCTGAGACCAGGAACGGATTTGCATTGTGGAAGACATTGGTTGACCACTACGCCCCAGCAACGAGACAACGTGCCTTGGCTTTGTCGCAGGCGATTTCGTCGTTTCCTCAGTACAAACAGGCACCAGGAAAGACATTGCAAGAGCACATCATGTCGATGGAAGCATTGGTGCAACAGTATGATGCCCTCAATGCAAAACAATTTGATAGGGATGTTTTGTTGGGAGTTCTGATGCGGTTGTGTCCTGAAGGGATTCGACAACACCTCAGCCTGGCAATCACAGAAAGCACTTCCTATCAAGAGGTGAGAGAACGAATATTGGCTTACGAGAGGAGTTCAAGCTTTGGAGTGTTGAAGACATGGTCAAACCTTTGAACCGACAGGTCGACAGTTCAGGTGTTGCTCCCATGGAGGTGGACGCCGTGACTTACAAAGGCAAAGGCAAAGGTGGAGAGAAAGGCAAAGGAAAGAAAGGAAACAAAGGAAAGGGAAGTTGGTCGGATGCATGGCAAAGGACCAGTTCTTGGTTCAAAGGAGGGAAGTCAAAAGGAAAGTTTTCCAAAGGCAAAGGAAAACAGAAAGGCAAAGGGAAGACAAAAGGAAAGTCGAAAGGCAAGAGCAAGTCGAAGGGCAAGCTCAGCCCGGATCGGTGCCGGGTGTGCAATGGGTTTGGGCACTGGGGCAATGAGTGCCCGAACAGAGACAATGTGAGAGAGGTGAGAGTTGAAGGTGGGCAGACAAATGTCCAACAGCAAGAGACAAGAGTTCCTTCGAGTGGGTCAACAGCTTACAGCTCGGTTGGCAGTACGACGGCTTCGACTCAGAGAGCAG